CAATACCGATACAATCATACCTCGTAATATTGGTTCAGTGCGAACAACCAGTGCAGAAATTAATCTGAGACCGGAGATGATTATCGGAACATATTGCGCAGTGTACAGGAACTAACAAAAAAACCTACGAGATATATTAAAACTAAAGTAATACAAATAATACAGAAAAAGCATAGATAAAATATAATTTTTTTTTATTGCTTAACCAAACCCATAAACATCCTACGCTGAAGGAATAACATCTTATCTTATCTTATCTTATCTTATCTTATCTTATCATATCTTATCTTATCTTATCTTATCTTATCTTATCTTATCTTATCTTATCTTATCTTATCTTATCTTATCTTATCTTATCTTATCTTATCTTATCTTATCTTATCTTATCTTATCTTATCTTATCTTATCTTATCTTATCTTATCTTATCTTATCTTATCTTATCTTATCTTATCTTATCTTATCTTATCTTATCTTATCATATTTTATCTATATATATAAAAATGAATTGCTGTTCGTTAGTCTCACTAAAACTCGAGAACGGCTGGACCGATTTGGCTAATTTTGGTCTTGAATTATTTGTGCAAGTCCAGAGAAGGTTTAAAAGGTGAATAAATATGAAAATGGAAATCGGAATTAAATAAAAATAACAATTTTGTTTTTCCTTCGATGTGTCCCCCGTCGGACGGATGCCTTTTGTTTTTTTTTTTAAGTTAATTGTATACAAAAGTTTAGGTCTTTTATTTATCGATTGAGGCACTACGGAGCCTGCCACGTCGCTTAGTTCTAAAAAAAATGATGGAACTAAAATCAACAAAGATATGAGTTCAAGGACATTGCTAATAAGCGAAGGTGAACGTAAGTGAAATATACTTACTTGAAAGACCCGGTCGGATGAAAGAGCTCCGTAATAATACATACGTCCCGGTATATCTTGTGAAAAAACCTTTTCATACGATCAAAGACCTCAATTAGTATAGTCAGCTGGTTCATTGGAACATTGATGTGTTCCAGGAATCAGTGATTATTATTATTATTATTATTTTCTTTTATTGACGTACAAAACAAATTACAACCATAGAAATCATAAGTTTAAATATTGAATATAACAATCTGGATTGCAATTCAAAACAGGTGCATACAGAAAAATTAGAACAACTGAACAAATGCGTAAATACCTTGTATATATACATGTATACACATACATAAATACTCGTCACACATCACACACACACATATGTAAGTTACTATCTATTTAAATTAAACTTAAATGATGGACACTATTAATTATTTGAGAATCATATGTTTAACTAATTTACAATATTTATAAAAACTATTTTCGTGAGTAATTTGGCTTTGCGTGTTTTCGTGTAAGCTTATCATTTTTAATGTACCGAAAATTATTCTGCTAATCATCAAAACTATTTTACGCGCGTTCATTATTTTTTTTTATTTTTTTATTGCTTAGATGGATGGACGAGCTCACAGCCCACTTGGTGTTAAGTGGTTCCTGGAGCCCATAGACATCTACAACGTAAATGCGCCACCCACCTTGAGATATAGGTTCTAAGATCTCAGTATGGTTACAACGGCTGCCTCACCCTTCAAACCGAAACGCATTACTGCTTCACGGTAGAAATAGGCAGGGTGGTGGTACCTACCCGCGCGGACTCACAAGAGGTCCTACCCCCAGTAAACAGTCGTCAGTCGTCTGTGTGAACACCGAAGTACCTATTCGAAAAATCGGAAATAACCGAAACAGTAATTCTAAAAGACGAATAGCCATTTATTAGAGTAAGAGTACTTCTCTATTTTGAAGGAAAAGTTTTGAGAGGCCTTCAAAAACCCTTAGCGGAACTTCAAGAGAGAATACCGATTAATTTGAAAGCCTAAAACTGTAAAATGAATCATCAGAATACTAACGCAAATGAATTTAGTTAGAAGGATTGTGAATAATTCCCCGTTAAGGTTTTCCTATTACAGAATTTCAAGGTAGCGTCATCATTCGTGTAATGAATATCTCTCTTCAGTTGGGTCCCTAAAATGGAGGTGTCGTTACGGCGGCCCCGTCTAAAAAGGCTTTGTTGTTTAATTTCGACGCCTTTAATTTTGTCTAAGTTACAAATTTCGAAAGATTAACGAGACAGTACACTAATTCCGGCCTCCCGTAAATAATTACAGCATTAAATCTAGAACGTTCCATTTTGTGTTATCTGACATGGTGTCAGTACTTTAACGCGTTGCAGTAAGGTTCATAATTATTTGATTCTAGTTCAGTGTAAATCGGCAATCTAAACATTTAAATTAAAAGGTTTATCAGTAAATAAGTAATTAAAAATATTGTTAGATTTAAGAGAGGCTTACACTATTATATATTACCATAATTAAGCAAGATGCTTCACTCGTGCAACCCACACCCATATAATCGCGTTTCTGCAGTATAGCCGCTGGAGCATCGTGGTATGTGAGAAATGTTAATCTTCGCTACGACCTCCAATTCCAGTGAAAAGCTCAGTGGGCCGGTCCTCTTAACGTGGTCGCCTCTAATAGTATACGCGACCCAGGCAAACGCATGTCTTATCGAATCCTCCGGATCTACTCTCGGTGCTTTTGGGCTCTCCAAACACCGGTCACCGTTCTCAATCTAATTTTCAAGGTCAACATGGCACTTTAGTATTAACCCAAAGACGCAACTCACTGAATTTTATAATAGCACGCGATTCCAACCTTGGGCTAGATTTAGCGAAGAATTGCTCTTGCTAGGGCTAGCAATTTTTTTTCGGGTTTTTTTTTATTGCCCTTGTAGGCAGACGAGCATACGGCCCACCTGATGGTGAGTGGTTACCGTCGCCCATGGACTTCAGCAATACCAGGGGCAGAGCCAAGCCGCTGCCTACCGCTTAATACTCTCCACAAGCCTCTTTTAAAGAAGGACATGTCATAGCGCTCTGGAAACACCGTGGAGGGGAGCTCATTCCATAGCCGGATGGTACATGGCAAAAAAGACCTCTGGAAACGCACTGTCGATGACCGCAGTGGCTCCAGGTAGTATGGATGAACTCTACTCCGGTGGCGGGCGGTGCGATGGTAAAAACGAGATGCCGGTATCATCTCGAACATTTCCTCAGAGCACTCCCCATGGAACATTCGGTACAAAATACAGAGGGAACCGAAGTCCCTCCGCAGACCCAAAGGTTCCAAACGTAATCGTAAATCGTCCGCGCGTAGTTTAAGAGGCCAACCAATGACCAAGGATCAGGTAGGGGGAAAATAACAAAATGCATATCTCAATTAGTTTGCAATTTCGTCCGTATTCTTTTATTTTATTTCATGATCTTTAATCGAGTGTTGGAATTCATCGTTACCGCAGATGTCCATAATTTATTGAATAAATTTGCAGCTTTCTTTTCATCCTGGAAGCAGTTCATAAACACCCATTAGGGGTATTTTTTTTTTTTTAAACTGGCGACTATCTCCAAATCTACTCCGTAGTGCGAAATCGCATAGTTCGATATTACTTCATAAATAATATATCAGACCTATTAGGATAAAAATTCAATTTAGAATTTATTTCATCCATCATAATCCTTAGATAAATTCCCGCAAATCAAGACACGTTATTATAAGCTTCCGATAGGTAACTACAGGATAAATTGTCGAACTTCTGAGATAGCAATAATTGCATAAACTCGGAATAACTCCCTTCGGTTGAAAGGAGTTTGCTATGAAACAGTTTCAGTATTATTTTCAAGTGCAATATCAGATTCCAAATTGTTAATAACTCCATGAGCTTATTTCGCATAAACATTGGGCTTACTTCGCATCGATATTGAGCATTACAATGAATGTATGCTATAGATAAACATGTATGCTATATACACTTTAAAACTTTGATGTATTTATTGATAAGGTAGATGCATCACATCTTTAAATTGGAAGGTATCATCATTTGATATTAATTTTTTGGTGGAAGAACACTGTTCACAAAAGCTTATTGTGTCTACGATTACAGAGAATGCTTTATTAGTAAATAAAATACTTAAAATAGAGTAAAAAAGAGAAGCTACGTAAAAAAATACTTTTAATCTGTCGCATTCTGAATTCGACTCGTAAAAGGAAATAGAAAAACATCCATTAATGCAGTGTTTCAGTTGGGACACATTTGGAAAATTGACACCCTGTATCTTCCACCTGTCTTTGTTTCAATTACTTTTACGGCGTTCAGTGCCGTAGGTCCCTTTACGACGGGAGATATTATTACTTCGTGACGTCCGTTGAATTGATCACGACCGTTTGCGACCCTCCTTTCGTGTCTGTGTTTAAAACGAGTCATTTAGGAACTGCTGGAGTGCGAATTTTTTCAAGTGTGTGTTTTCAATTGGATGTTCGGTATTTTGGGCAATTTTTTTTTTTGAGAGATTAGTGGTGGCCCGGAGGCTTTTCCAGTTTTACCAGGGCAGGTGGGGGAGCAAGGGCTCAGCCTGGAGGGGTGGGATTAGCTAACAGCTACTCGAAGTTAATTGACAGCGATTGACGAAATTAAATATTTTTCCAATATGCAAGTCAATTGTAGATATAAAATCACATAGATCTTGTACCTATACATTGTAGTACTATTTATCTTACTTATGTATTTATCAGAGTATATATTATATATAATGCACATGGTGTACGACTTAACTTTGTAATAACGTACAAAAAATAACATATTTTTTTATCATTCATTGTCCACGATCTCGGAGCATTCGTTGGCGCAATACACTAACTCTTATGCAAACAACCGGGAATGAAGTGTACCACAATAAGTTCGCACGTTACCGAATGACCGTGGGTTGCTGTGAAACCTCGAGTTTTATTTTCTTTGTACCTCGAATAGAACTTAAAATTAATATTTTTATAATAAGGAACTTCGTTCATATCCGGTGTCCCACGACACCACACATCTTTTTTCTTACTTGCTTTTACGTATCTAAGATTTTTTCAAGTATACGTTATTCTGCAGGCGGACATAGCACATTCAGCGAAAGGTTACGAATCAGAGGATGAAAACGCGGGCAGAAAGTGGCAGAAGGCCAACGACGACCGGCCAGCCAGCAAGACCACCATGTACTCTAAACAGGTAGGCCGTGCCAATTGAATCCAAACAAAAGACCAGACGAGTGCACTGAGTTATAATTCGCTTACATTTTATTTAAATAGGTCCTTAAAGTATTTTGTATGAACCAGAGAATAAAAAAGAAAATACAGGAGCAATATCACTCGATTAAAGTAAAATGAAATAGAAACTATTGTGTTTGTGTGATCAGTGACTTGAGATTCGAATCATAAGGAAATCGTGAACTCATGAACTGATTGTGCGCCTTACGCCGGCTCCGCATGCTGGCCCGAACATAGACCCCAACGCCACTCGCTCAACGTGTGGATCAAAAAAAAAAGCATTGGCCCCAACAAACCCATTGGAGCGAACGTTGGTAGCTGGACGTCGAGTGTCGGTTTTATCAAAGGAATCTGTGCCAACGTTCGCGATCCGTCCACGTGTTGGCGCTTTGCTCAGTCTTGTTGCAACACGCGTCAAGTGTGCATATCGCGATGCCTTCATCAACAAAATCGCCACCTGCATGGTTCATCTCCTTTGACGTGGCTTTTTCTTTTTTTTTTTTCAATAAGAGATATAAATTATACGCACTCAGTTCTGTAAAAGCGCTTAGAGTAATTTCAATTTCGATATCGCACGTCTTCACGTTGGCTCTGACGGAAAGGAGCTAGTATAACAGTCAACATGTGGACACTTCACCAATTCAACCGCTCAACGTTGGGGCCAACATGTAGAACCGGTGTTAGACTATTTCACTCTTAAAATTGGAAGAAACCTTATTGAGGCATTACAATTTATTTTTAATCACAAGTATTATTAATTACTCTTTCAGTATTAGCTACTCTTCAAGTTATGATACATAACAGATATATTCTCATTCCGATAGAGGCACCCGTCACGTGCGGACGTGCCCATCGACCACTCGATCGCCCGGCCTTTGTTCGCCCGGCTTTTGTTAGCCCGGCCATTGTTCGCGCGGCCTGTGTTCGTGGTACATCTGCCGACCAAGTGTTTTTTCCTGGAAGTTTTTATTTGTTTTGTTTCCTTTCGTTATTTCTGTGTTCGTGGTACATCTGCCGNGCGGGTCGCGATTCCGATCCGGTAGTAGATTCATTCGTGAAACAATTGCTCTTGAGTTGTTAGGTCTCCTTCGGAGGCGCTCGGGCAGTTGTTAGCAAATCCCACCCCTCTTGGCTGAGCCTTTGCTCGCCCACCTGTCCTGGTGAAACTGGAAAGGCCTTCGGGCCACCAGTAAACTTTCAATCATAAAAAAAAAAAAAAGATATATTCTTATTTTACTAGTCGTGCATGATATAAGTCCAGAAATATGAATAAGACAAATGAGAAGTGTCGTGGTTGATGTATTAAGACACATTGATGGATCGAGATAGGAAATTATACCAACAGCTATGAATAAACAGGCTCTGTGTTAGGTGATTGGGCAAACAAAGATGGCTTTGTTTGTTTTTAATTTTGGTGCTGTAACATCTAAGTAATTTTAAGGATCATACAAAAGCTGTTTGAATGAATTCAAAAATTGTTGAAAATTTATGAGTCGAAATACAAAATTCCAACCAGTTACAAATAAGATTTTTGTGAAAATACATTCCGAGTTAATGTAGTTGCAGTTTATCTTTGGAGCTAGAGTGTTCGAGTTGAATACAAATCTGTGCTTATGACTTCAATAATGTTGGCAATAGAATGTTTCTTTGGGACCCAACTTCAAATATCTGTCATAAATTTCAATAAATTTAGGGATGGTATGGACATGTCATTGTGATGAGACGAGATGAAAATGAGGTTGGTAAGAAAATGTTAACTATGAATGTGGAAGGATATAGAGGAAGAGATAGACCTAAAAAGAAATAGATGGATTGCGTGAAAGACGATATGGATAAGAGGGGAGTGAGCGAAGAATGGTAAATTATAGAAAAATATATAAGGAGAAAACATGTTGTGCCGACCCCAGGTAACTGGGAGAAGGAGAGAATAATGATGATATGAAATTTCAATAAATTTAAAGTATTTCTTCTCGCCGAACAGGAGTTCAGAGAGCAGTACTGCATCAACAACAAACAGCTGGATCTGCTGGAATTGGAGAAGTCCAAGAAGGACAGATTCCTCGGATGTCTCTCCCAATACCACATCGAGAGCCCCTGCTCACGATCCAACAGGTTCGTCATTAGATTATTTTGTACTAATTCATTCAAACGTAGGCTTTAAAGAATTGGAGCGTTTTCAGTATATCGGGAAAGAAAACTTAGAGTTTATAAAGATCAATTTCATATTCACATTTCTAGATACAAATTAGGAGCATCCCATGGACTGCAGAAGTGCAAATTGACTGCCACGGTGAAGGAATAACATCGTGTAATAAAAATCAAACCCGCAAAATTATAATTTTCGTAATTACTGGTGGTAGGACCTCTTGTGAGACCGCGGGGGTAAATACCACCACCCTGCCTATTTCTGCCATGAAGCAATAATATGTTTCGGTTTGAAGAGTCGTTGTAACTATACTTGAGACCTTAGAACTTATATCTCAAGGTGGATGGCGCATTTACGTTGTGGATGTCTATGGGCTCCAGTAACCACTTAACACTAGGTGGGCTGTGAGCTCGTCCACCCATATAAGTAACAAAAAAAAAATATATGTGATGAAAGTTTATATTAGTAAATAATAAGAACCGCACGTAGTTTTCTCTTGAGTTTTTTGTTCTTTTCGTATGTAATGTTACACTACACATTGGTACACTATTAACCACACAGTCAGGTACCACAATCCTGTCAAGTTTCTACCGCAAAGCACGCTGCGTTCCGGTTTGAAGGATGTGAGTGTCATTATGAAATACAATTGAAACTTTTAACCCACCTAATCTACAATCGTAATAAGAGTTTAATGAACCCAAAAAATACATCCAATTTATCCATACCTAGAAATATTAAAATTTAATCTGTGCGCGTTTGGACGCTAATCTGCACAATGATTGAACCAATTGCGCTCTAGTTTTCAGCGTTTTGTTAAAATGATAATATTAATAGCATTTGCTTCATTAAAATTAGTTGGCATGAAAACGAAATTCGATTGTGCATTCGTTCGTATTTAATGATGCATAAAGTTTCCCTTTTTTTATTTTGATAGTGACGTGTTGGAGCAAAAAAACTGGCTACAGCCAAAACACACATTATTGATGGCACTAAAACTAATCATTGGCTAATATATAAATTAAAAGAAAATCGGTTTACAAGTATTGAAGAAAATTGTGTTTAATTTTCAAAAATAGCACTTTTCGTTTTTAGTGTTTTGTACAAACTAGTATTCACTTTATATTATAGTACAATAAAATACGCTCTAATCCACGCATCTCTTGTTTTGTATTAGCCTATACTTACTTATTTAGTTGATAGACTATCTATTTAGTAATTACATTCTCGAATTTGAATTTGAAAAGCGCCTATTTCGAATTCAATTTGTATCTACTGTCACGATTTAGGGATCTAAATGTAAGCGGTTAATTGTAATGGATGATCAAAGTGTGCTTAAATTGAAGGGTTAAATGGTAGATAAGACGATTCTGAGCGACTGAAATGACTATTTGTACTTTTTATGTAGTTAACTGTGAATCTTCATTCATGTTTTAGCGTATTTGTCTTTAAATTAGATATTGTTGTAGATATTAGGTTGGTTAGCAAATTCATGGCACGCCTGATAGCAAACTTTCATTATGTTCTAGTATATAGTCTTACGCACTGGGGTTCGGGATAAGTTTTAGCTCTACCACAAAGTGCAACTAAAACTGTATTCAACATTTAGAACACTTAAAACACTTCACAAAGACTTTAAAATTCTCAATTCGCTTCTTCCGCTTCGCTTCAGGTGATCCGTTCGCTGTTTCGCTTCGAGTAGTTGCGATTAATAACTGACTGCGTGCCATCTCTACAACGCTTTTATAGTCGATACGTTATCCCTAGAATCATCAAGAACATTCCTCACAAGTCGAGTATCTTCGATGTGTGTTTTCGCTATCTGACACTGTTACTAGATCCTTCGATATTCGTTCGGCTATTCGGCGACAGATGGCTTTACTCTTACCGACGTAACAATAGCAAAGCGGGCCTGGCTTAATAAAGCAGATTGAGCAGTAGTCGATCTTTAATTTGAATTTGGTCTGATCGCTACTAAGCATCAGAGGATCACCCGTTATTTGCAAAATTTCTGAAAATTTCACCGAAATCGGTCGTGCCGTCTCGGGGTCTATAGAGAACATACCTCGACACATCATTATCGATATATCGACTTTCGCAATTATAGATGTATGCACCACAACATACGCCACGAATAACGAAGAGCTCAGAATGCACACTACAAGTATTTATAAAAAATATTATAAAAATGAAGTTAGTCTGAATTGCATAAAATAACAACAGCGTCAAAGCATGTTATATCCATGGCTTAAAGGCTTATGTATCCTTAGCTTTATATAATTATATTGTATAGGTGTATCCCTAATTTTCGTTCGATAAACACCGCTGAAATTCGAAAATGATGACGTATTTAAGTGCATATCGCAGAAGGAGTGTTAAGTGTACACGGTAATTTAATTCATAAGTCCGTGTACCGCCCGGTGTACACGGGTATATCCGGGGTCAACGACTATATTTTGTTACTTTTAATGCATCAGTCGATAAGACGAATAATGGCCAAAAATTATATAATCACACTTGGATATAATATGGCGTGTTTCGGAACGCTTGTATAGGGACTGTTAACGTGTTAAAAATGTGGATTATTTTTGACAGTTCACTTGATATGTTTGTTCAAAACATCAATCTACCCAGTTAATCATGAAATCTATAAAATAAATAGTTATTAATTTTTTTTAACAATCCCAGTAATGGTTGCATAAAATAATTCCAGCTTCAAATTAATTTTCAATTTAAATTGAAATTGGCAAAATGTTGATAATATTGACAAGAGCTAATTGAATTTCATTGGTTTGATTTGGAAACGGGTTTGTTTGTATTGAGCAGTAGATCATTATTTTCAGGCCCTGTGAGTATAACACAATGTGATTTGATTTTCTTAAATTGCCTTACAACATATTTTTTTTCCAAATTCTCTAACCGATTTAACTAACTTTCGGATTAGCTTGAGACTTGAAATTGAAAAAAACAGAACCAACTGTCTTAGAACAGAAAATGCAATAAAAAACCACTGAACGAAAAAATTAAACCTTTTAATTTGTTTTGAAAAGTCGTCATAAATGTGTTTTTATTTATTTATTTCATTGCTTAGATAGGTGAACGAGCTTACAGCCAACCTGGTGTTAAGTGGTTCCTGGAGCCCATAGACATCTACGAAGTAAATGCGCCATCCATATTGAGATATAAGTTCTAAGGTCTCAAGTATAGTTACAACGGCTGCCCCACCCTTCAAGCCGAAACGGATTATTGCTTCACGGCAGATATGGTAGTACCCGCGCGGACTCACAAGAGTTCTATCACCAGTAATTACGCAAAAGTGGAACTGGAGTAGAATGAATAGTGGATCTATTATCAGTGGGTGTAAATCTTAGTAAAAAAATGCGGAAATCTACGATGATCTTATCGTTATCTATGTTTTCATCTTTATAAAAAGAGTCTGAAAAGTTGCTTAGCAAGTCCAAGTCCTTCACCTACCACCAATTTCAACAGTCTCAACATCTGAGAACACAATCGGGCGATAAAATCATTTGCCAAATAGTTAGATTTGTTTACATTATCCTATTGGTTTTCAATGCTTAGAACTTCAATCTCCATCATATTGTGAGAACTTAGTCATTATATCAATGTAATATATTAATTACTAAATGCACACTTTTCAAACTAGCCCCTAACTACATGGATAAGTAATTACTTAATAGACTTGCAAGGGAATAAGAAACAATTCCAGCTATTCAAATTTGTTGAAGTTGAAAAATAAGTCTTTAAAGTATACGGTCTCAAATAAGTTGGTTGGACAATAAATAGGAGCTTTTTAGGAAGGTAAAGGTAACAAATTGGGCATTTTATTATTCTGCACCCTCCTAATCGCGTTCGAACTCAAATAGGGGAACGAAAGCCACTCCATCCCTGACATTATTTTTAGCGTTGAGGCTATTTGAGGCCGTCAGCGCAAAAGGCACAATTCATATTCATGCTTTTTTTTTATTGCTTAGCTGGGTGGATGAGCTCACAGCCCACCAGTGGTTTCTGGAGCCCATAGACATCTACAACGTAAATGCGCCACCCATCTTGAGATATAAGTTCTAAGGTCTCAAGTATAGTTACAACGGCTGCCCTACCCTTCAAACCGAAACGCATTACTGCTTCACGGCAGAAATAGGCAGGGTAGTGGTACCTACCCGCGCGGACTCACAAGAGGTCTTACCACCAGTATTGCAATTTATTTAAAACATAATAAATTTTAATGCAAAATCGGCCTATCCCTAGTTTCATCCGTAGATAACATATGCCTTTGTAAAAATCATTTTAGCGCGTATTTAAAGGTAAATCCGAACTTCAATATCTTCATACTAACTGTAATAAGTTTAGGCCACTTTTGCGCTGACGGCCTCATTTATTATTGACATTAGAAACATCGTACGTGTGTATGTAGTTGATTAAGATATCGCATATTATAACAGTCAAAGGTAAATAGGAATCACCCACAATAATAAAAAGTTGAAACCATGAACTTTGCGTCTCTAAGCTCGTAAATTGCATATATTTTTATCAAACCAGCATATGCCGTAAGCTTGCTTACATTTTGTTTGCATCGCAAACAACCTCAGATTCGATTGTAAAAAGACGTAAAAAATTATTTCACCCAGAGCATTTTAAGGACCAAATATTAAATAGTGTAGTAGTGACTGTTGCGAACGCCCTCAGAGAAGCCGAAAACCGAAGCAAATGGAAGCTGAGGGTACAAAGAGCCACGAAGGGCTTTCAAGGACACGACCTTCAGCAATGAAGTATTCGACTAAGAAGAAGTAGTGACGTCACGCGATGTATTAATGCCCTTTTCAGTCGACCATCACACCTAAACTTTCACCATTTCACATTTAATTTCGCCGAATTAGGACATTCTCCTAACATAAGCATAAACGGGACTTGAAAACTCATATCGCAATAACTGACTCCGCCCGAGAATCAAATCCGAACGTGGTACGAGGTTGAAAATACTTTGAAAATATAAAAATCTAATCTCTAGTGTTGTTTTTTTTATTTCTTTCAGAGCATCGTTCCTATCCGTGTGTGTCCGTCGTCGGGTACCCTCAGATGAGAACCTTAACACCGACTATGCACCGATACAGCGGTATCCCAGGTACAACACTAATATAATACGCTCTACATTACTTTACACAACGGTACTGTACATAACGGTAGGCAGCGGCTTGGCACTGACATTGCTGAAGTCCATGGGCGACGGAAACCACTCACTATCAGGTGGGCCGTATGCTCATATTTTGTTTGTCTCAGCGGACGAGCTCAAAGCCCACCTGATGTTAAGGGATTACCGGAGCCCATTGACATCAACAGCGCAAATGAAACCAAAACGCGAAATTATTATTATTATTGTTACTATTTCACGGCAAAAATAGGCACGATGGTGGTACCTACCCGTGCGGGCTTAAAAAATGCTCTACTACCAGTAAAAGTAACTTTTCGAGATATTATGGTTTTTATTTTTATTTTATTCAGCTTTTTTATTGTAAATTTTATACTCATCTGTTTATAGAGCTGGAAACTATTCTAGCCTGGATGTTGTTGATATGTTAATAATTTTTCAAGAGAGTTACAATATGCCCGCCATAATTACGATCATATTATCCATTTCTGTCGCGAAGCGGTCATTCGTTCTAGTTTAAAAGGGCGGAACACCCATTTAAAATAAAATTCTAACTTCTACCTTATGTTGAGCCCCGTGAGCTCATCTACTGGTTTTGCGAATCTAGTATAACCCCTCGCGGTTTCTAGAATAGTTAGGAAAAAAAAGACCTTTTGTTTCAAGCTAGGTGATGGTATCGATGTTTCGTTATCTGTAGGCTCCGGTGATCGTTCGGTTAATATCCAGCCAACCGTGATCTCATTCACCCATCTACAAAATTAAAAAAAAAATTGTTTTTTTTTATAAATATTAGGATTTTTTTAATTGGTTGCAGAGGTTAGAAGGTGATTGAATGATTGATTGAGTGATGTTCGATTTTTGAAGTGAAACTTCTAATGCGACTTCCACCAAACTTGCGTTAAACGTTTAACGCTACCATGGAGGGGAGTGAATGCGTGCGTGACACTCGAACGTATGCGCGTAGTATACCTGTTACAGGCCAGCGCGAGCGTTATATTAGCAACGAGTAGCGTCTAATATTTTAATGAAGTATTTAAAAATATATTTATTTATCTTTATTCATATATAATATATTTTATTTTTCTATCTATAATTTAAAATATATAATAATATAAAGGTTGAAGATGTCGCATCTCTTATACACAGCACTCACTCCCTATTACAAGAGCAATCTGATTTAAGGATGAAAATTAAAGAAAATCACACATCCAAAAAGAAGTTTCACTTCATTCATGTTCCATGCGCACCGTTTTTTTTAAGTTTACGTAATTTTCCTCCTAGTTTCAGAAATGGTCAAAATCATATTTAGGTATTCGAAGTTGCCAAGCAAATTCATAGATATAATCAAATACGTCTAAAGCACAATCACAATATTGTATACAGCACGTGTAATTTTCAAAATATGCCTTTTGTTCCATTAAGAAGGTTTGGCCAACCCACCCCGGTACCAGCGGAGCTATGCGCCTATGATGCCGACTTGGATTGTTCGTACTTCCGGCGCCGTCCACGGTCGGTGTGCAGCCAACCTGACCCCAAACGCTACACTTGGATGCCAGAGGATGAAGACTTCACCCGGATGGAGTGGCCACAGTAAGTTCAAAATCAAAGAATTTCATCGTACGCCTTTTTCTATAGCACAGTCTCCACTGTGACCGGTAACCATTTAACATTAGATGGACCGTGAACTCACTTTTCTATCGTAAAAAAAGGGTGCGTGTACTTATGTACTCGCGTAAGAAGTTATACTTTATTTTTATTCTCTCTAGTAACACTTTTTTTTACGAGTGTACATGCGCGAAAGTTCACCTGCGGCTATATTCAGACTCGCCAAGTTACGTCAGTAGTATTGTTGGCAACTTCATTCTGTTAATTTTGTGTCACGGTGCGCGCGCATCGTAAAATTTCACTCTCATCAATTTTTCATAACGCGCCTAAAGAAGTATAACTTCAAAAACTCTATTAAAATAAGTTTGACTAAAGAGTATGAAACTTTTATTCTGCTGCCTTTAATTTTGACCTCACGGGCATAACCTTACAGAAGCTCCAGTAAAAATGTACAAATTCAAAGCTAATGGGACAAAAATACAGAAAAGCAAAGGTTTTCACAGATTCTCTTTAGAATACCTAGGCATTTAAGTCTTTAGGTCGCACGTCTTTTAGAATCTTAATTGCAAAACTTATACGTCATTTAATGGAATATAAACGAGCATTCCTGAAATATTTTCAATGAAATATCGGCTCATCATTTTCGGGCAGATGACGGCGAAATTCTCGAGAGCGACCCCAGAAAATTGCGTTACGAAGTTCGTGTTATCTTTACAACTTTCTTAATGCATAATTGATTTTGAAGAGCGGTCGGCGTTTCTTATTAGAATATTGTTTTCGAACCAATCAATTTCTTTTTCCGCAAACTATGCATTGTCATCATTCTCATGAATAGTAGATGGTATTTTTAACATGATTTTATTAGCCTGGTATGTTGGTTAGATTTGTATATGTCTGATGTCGTCGTGGCCTAAAGGATAAGACGTCCGGTGTATTCGTGTTGAGCGATGCACCGGTGTTCGAATTTCAGGCGGCACCAAATTTTCTAATGAAATACGTCAACAAATATTCACGATTGACTTCCACGGTGAAGGAATAACATCGTGTAATAAAAATCAAACCCGTAAAATTATAATTTGCGTAATTACTAGTGGTAGGATCTCTTGTGAGTCCGCGCAGGTAGGTACCAACCACCCGTCCTATTTTTGCCGTGAAGCAGTAATGCTTTTCGGCTTGAAGGGTGGGGCAACCGTTGTAACTATACTTGAGACCTTGAACTTATATCTCAAGGTAGGTGGCGCATTTACGTTGTAGAGCTCTATGGGCTCCAGTAACTAGGTGGGCTGTGAGCTCGTCCAGCCATCTAAGCAATAAAAAAAAGTGTATAGCTAAATCTATGAAAGTAATTTTCACAGACTTCAGAACGTTCGATTGACTTGGAAGCTTGCACTGCCCACTCATCGACAGAACCGATGACAATACAAATTATTTTACAACTTTGCTCTAATACACTGAACAGTTTCAATAGGATAATAAAAAGGTGAAAATAACCGTTAGTTCGATTTGCTATTTAAGGGCTATTTATACATTTATTAAGTATTTAATTTTCATTCAAATATATTAAGTACCTAACAGAATAGGATGTTCTCATGTTTTTTCATACTCACAAAGGAAATCAGTCATGTACCTTGTGACATGATGTTGGAATCTGACTGGAAACCTTAAAACCCGAACGCACCTTTCGCTTACTCTACTGTACAGGGAATTGGTGCTATGGACATACAATTAATAATATAGGCTTAACTATTGTGGTAGTTTGAGAGGGCAGATGCTATTATAAGTCAATAGAAACTTCAACGTCAAGTCTTAAGTTGATCGAAGCCGTAAACTTTAAGTCCTTGACACGAAGACTTTAAAACTCCTATAAACAATTAAGATAATCCTATAACTGTGGTCCCTTATAATGACCACTAGAATTGTTAATCTAAAACAAAATATACAACGGCAATTGTCCATACGGTTTACAACTTTATGAACGTATTCATAATGTTTGTTTTCAATTTGCATAGTCAAGATGTATCCTTGGCCTCGTTGTTGTGGGATCGCATAAATTGACCCCGCTGATATTATCCCCGGTAAAGTGGACAAATATAGGCCCTTATATCATAATATTATAGTTCATTTCATAACCGCAGCTTATATGGGACACCGGAGAGGGCGCGTTAAGTCGAGCGCCAACTAGTGTGGTATTAGATAGAATTTTGAAAGGATTAAGTATCATTGTTATTTCTGCAAATAGGCAGATGTCTTTTATGGTGAAACCTTTTTGTTTTTTGTTTAAATTTAAATAAAATTTTTAAACTTTTCTCATTTCGTTGTGTGAGGAAATGATATCGAGTAATGAAAGAGTGTTTGGTATGACATTTATCTTTATAATTAAAAGGTGCGTTTTATTTGGTAGCATCAACAGTTCGATGTTTTAAATTAAGCTGCAATTAAGCTCCATTTTGATGGAGCTATTTGTAGCCAAAGAAGTTTTTTTTGTTTTTATGACATGTATTTTTTCCAAATTTTGAACTTCAAATATGTAGCTCTCGTGTAAAATTGCAAAAATATCGCCTAAACCAAATATGTCTATTATCTATCTACCACAATATACAGTTTAAAAAATGGATCAAATAGGAACAAATTTGTTTGAGTTTTAGTGTATTTCACTTCAATTTTAAATAGACAGTTGAATGAGTACCACATCTTGAAACACGAGGCCTAAGACTCAATCGTATAGTATAGCGGATGACCCATCCATCAATCTAGATTTTTTTTTATTGCTTACATGGGTGGATGAACTCACAGCCCATCTGGTGTTAAATGGTTACTGGAGCCCATAGACATCTACAACGTAAATGCGCCACCCATCTTGAGATATAAGTTCTAAGGTCTCAGTATAGTTACAACGGCTGCCCCACCTTTCAAGCCGAAGCGCATTACTACTTGACGGCAGAAATCGCTGGAGTGGTGGTGCCTACCCGTGCGGACTCACAATTTTGCCTAATTCTGTGCAACATCAGTCACACTTCGGTCTTGAAAGTCGTTATAGTGGGAATGCAATTCGATTGTGACATTCGATTTTAGGTATCAAATTTGTTGACAGCTAAAGGCATGGTACTAAAAAACATTAATATCACAATGATTGAAATGTGATTGTGTCAGTGATTTCAACCGCTACAGATACAAAACTTTCAGAATTGGAAATGTCGATATGCCCAATCACGAACCCTGGGAATATTTCTTAGTCAAGTTTAGTGCTAAGTAAAAAAAAAACCTTGATTTCTTCACCTATTACAGATCGGTAATAGAAGATAACGCGGGTTGGCCCCAAAATTATAATGTGGACCAAATCGCGTCAGTCACTCGTGGTGGATCCTTGCCGAGGCCACCTTCAATAATTCCGTGAGTATTCTTTAACATTATTATTTCATGAGCTCAATTAAATACACACAACACCGGATTGTATTCTCAGGCACACAAAACCGAACTAAAAATTAATTGGTGTTATTTAGTCTGGCCTCTGCTTTAAATGTAATAGCACGTATGGATGTAATGAAAATTTCGGAAAAAAATCAACCAATATCTTCATATTTTTTTGTTGAAATTAGTAAAACCATTTTATAATAATAAAAAATACGTAATAATCTCACGATTTTTACTAGAGCTTAAATAAACTGATTAGATCCTGCAAATTCTGGCACTGGTGTTGCGGAGTTTAAAATTCTTCTCGGGTAGGTATTGTTTATTATCCGTGCTGTTTCTGACGCAAAGCAGTCCAAAACTCGAATTCGAAAAGTTTTACCGTCAACTTTATGGCCCAAAATGGTAGTAACTTCTTAATACCTGTCTACCCATCTAGAGAACTAAAAAGCGCAGATCATACGCGGCAAAAGTGAAATATTCATAAGAACACTTATCTCGTTCTATTGCTGACAAATGGCAATATATCTCAGCAGCTTATGTTCCATGAAGAGTGCTCTGAGGATTTTTTAAGAAGACTTTTCACCTATATTATAGTTTGCCACCAATACCCATCGCAACAGGGTTGTGCTACATACCACTCGACCCTAAAATAAAACCCTTTCACAGCGTTTGCCGAGCACCATAGCACAACCTTTTTTAAATAAGTTTTATACTATGTTTACAGGAACAACGGTGATCATAAATGATAGTTTGAACTGTGTGCTAGTACTTTGGAAATAAACTACTATAGTCAATATATCGCTTTTATAAAGAAATTTGCTCTAAATTCTCAAAGTTGGATAAGTCTGGGTACAGTATGAGTATAGAAATACGGTTAAACTGATATAGTAATACTAAATGAATAAGCATAATTGGCAATTTGTTATTTATTGTAATTGCATTTCCAACGAAAATACTCAAGTCATGTTATTTATGGTAATTGCATTTCCAATGAAAATACTTAAGACATTTCTGCTGTGCGAACCCTGGGGGATTAAAGAGAGTAATTACAGCACTGAGAGTGGAGGTCGAAACTGTGTTAGTGTGTTATGACCTTAATGGCTCTGACGTAATATGTAGCTCCATGTTCAAATGATACAGGGCAAATAATTAAACATTAAATAAAATTAACAAAAAAAACTGCTTCGCGACAGAATATCTGTATTTTGTACCGCATGTTCCATGGGGAGTGCTCTGAGGAATTGTTCGAGATGATACCAACGTCTCGTTTTTACCATCGCACCGCCCACCACCGGAGTAGAATTCATCCATACTACCTGGAGCCACTGCGGTGATCCACAGTGCGTTTCCAGAGATCTTTTTTGCCACGTACCATCCGGCTATGGAATGAGCTCCCCTCCACGGTGTTTCCCGAGTGCTATGACATGTCCTTCTTCAAACGAGGCTTGTGGAGAGTATTAAGCGGTAGGCAGCGGCTTGGCTCTGCCCCTAGCATTGCTGAAGTCCATGGGCGACGGTAACCACTCACCATCAGGTGGGCCGTATGCTCGTCTGTCTACAAAGGCAATAAAAAAAAAGAATATGTCGTTAGACCTACCTAAATTACAATTACAAATTCAGTAGGTTAGGTAAATTACTTATTTACTACCCAACAGAATGAGAAAATGTAATGTGACAACTGTGTGACATTCACATAAAAGCTCCGACCATTTTTTTTAGTATGTGGGTACATGTTATTCGTAAAACTTTTTACAGTACAGATGTCCTACAAACATTTTCCCAATAAATGGAACATGTTACGTAAGTTTTTCATTGAAAACCTTTCACGAAATATCCTCAGCACGTTTGTATGACACCCACGCAGAGAAAAATCTTTTTTTGTTTTGTTCTTCCAGTTGTCCCGCCCACACGCCGATACCGCCTCCACCCCCGCCCCCGCCGCTCACAATTCCCCCGCACAGGTAATGATTTTAGCAAAAAAAAAGTAGCTAAATAATTTGTAAAAAAAATTAAACAGTAACCGTTGCAAACAGCTAATTTCAAGACCCTTCTTAGAGCTGTCGAGAGAATTAAAGAACAAAAGCAATTAGTACAGCTACCAGCCAGATGAGCTTTGAAATATTATGTCATAAAAAAGTCATAAAATAATCTTCAAAAATTTGCAGTTTAATTAACAATATGACATTCACAAGACTACATAAGTCGCCCAAAATTTTTTGTATAGTGACGTAATACAAAAAAATTACGGATTGAATTTCGTAACGAGGTATTTCGATTTAATGAAGACAAAATATTTGGTTTTTCAGAACTAAGCATGTATCGTTCGCTCGTTCCCACACACTCACGACGTTTGATGACTCGGTGATGCCGGCTGCCGTAAGCAACCGATACCGGAGGGACTGCGAAAGACTAATAGATGGAAGAGCTGTTAAGGTACCGTAGGACAACTTTGCTGTGTGAAATTGAAAATGTTGCCTGAGTATTATGCCAGAGACCTACCCCACTGCTAGGGCGTCTTATGAACCCACACTAGTAGGTACCACATTCAACCATATTTGCCGCAGTAATACGTACCGGTTTGAAGAGTGGGGCAGCCGTTGCACTATAAAACTCAGGTCTTAAGAAAGGTGGCAGAACTTAAGTTGTTGATGTCTATGGACGTCGGTAGCCTCTTTACACCATATCCGTAGGCTCAAAGACCAACCAAAAATTAATAATTCTATATTTATTATAGAGATAAAAGTTATGAATATAAGATTTTTGGAACGTTATAATATAGGGGTGACATCTTCGACCGATAATTGGGTTTTGCCAATAAAAATGCCACTACCTAAATTGCGTGCTGTCGTGGAATTCTAAATTCGTATGTTTCTTTAGACTAAACAGCCTAAAGCTAAAAGAGAATTGTTGTACATGAGTAAAAGAGTACGTGGTAATTTGACCTCTGAAGACGGTAGGTGACCGAGCTATGTATGACCAGTGCCACTTCGATTACGGTGTCTTGTTGAACTGATTCAACACATAGGTAACTAAAGTCCCAAGTTCCGTGAAATCTACCCTGTTAACCTGTTTAATATTGTTGTCATTCTAATAAACCAGTGCTCGTTTAGTGGTTGCAATTCAACTATAATCTTGAACACCTAAAGATTAGATTAACTGAACAGACAAAAAAAAACGGTCAACAGCAGTAGAAGTCGTTGAACTATTTCATCTTCGCCTATCGCATATGGTAAATATACTAGTACATAGATTTAATGTGTGTTGTTCAATTACAGCCTGAACCAAAACCGTACTCGACACTGCCAGTGATGTTCCAACCATTCCCGCCATATCCCCAGTTCATAGCACAGGCCGCGCCCGCTCCGATCCATTACCCTCCACCGATAGCACAAATACCGACACATCAGCAGCCAGCAACATTACCGAGGACTGCTCAACAAGAACAAACAAAAGTAGTAGTATTAGGTAAATGGTTTTTTTCATATTACTCCATCTTCTTTTCGTAGTTTTAATTATCAAAATAATAGCTTGAGTGTTTTACAATATTATTGGTTAAATGGCGATAGAGCAAATCTTAGTTCAAACGGATAGGTACCACTTTCTTGATTATGCTGTAAAATATTAATGAGTATCGGTTTCAAGGGTTGAAAAGTGGGTACGCAAATAGCTGAGACTTTGGCCTCCCAGAGGTGGGTATCATTCCATACGCTGTGATGTGTATGGATTGCTCCATCACCAGCTAACTCCAGGTGAACTGTGAATTTTTCTCACCATCCACTACAGTAAAAATAGAAACGAACTAAACTTATTTATGAAGAATCAACTTCTATTAAAAAAACAGTAAGGCACTAACTGTTTTGATTACAGATTCACTAAAGAAAGGAGTCATGAGAACACAAGCCACGCAAACTGAAGTATGCTTAGGGAGGAAGCCACACCCACCAAATTATTTATCGCTCAGCCCTCGTACCATTAAAAGGGTGAGTGTGACAGCTTAGAACTAAGATGAATCGTTCTATATCTTGAACTTGCTTAAACATTTAAATTGGCAGGTAAAAATGGTGGCTGCTGGTGTGCAAACGAATGGATACACGATTGGCCCACGAAGACTAACGAAATCATTCTCAGAAGTAGGTGGTGATAGATTAACTGGTCGAGACACTCAAAGTGAAATTCCATTAACAGTCGAAAGGTATAGTGATATGACTTCAGAAATAAATTACATAATTTAACTATTCTAATAACAAAAGAATTTTACTTACAGTTTCATAGGCAACGATCACGAAAAGTTACATAGAACCCAATCAGAAGAGCCACCTAGATCTCCTCGTTCTCCTACTAGAGCTGAACCCAGTTCACCGCATCTTCAAAGAGGTGATTCAGACGATGTCACTTCGTCATCAATGAAATCTGTGGCTTCGTCACAAATCGACAAATCATCTGAGCTGAGTGCATTACAGAGGCAAGCTCAGGAATACTTTCAGCAAAACTTCCAATTTATACACGAAAGTGACAGAGACGACACTATAGATGACGATATAGAAACTTTAGAAAAAAGCATGTCTTTGAATAGAAGGAACCTGGAGTATTTACAGCAGGAGATCGCTAAGCAGAATAAAGCTGAAAAATCTTTGAGATCGATTTTGTCTAAAAGCACAAGTGATGCATCGCAAAAAACAGCGAATTCGACGCATCCATTTTCAAAGGCATCAACGTTCCAATCGGAATTATCAACTGAGACATCAGCAACGACCACAGATGATAGCGAAAAAAATGAAAAGGAGATCATTATAGATTTCGAGCCGCGACCAGATGATGAAGCTATACCATTTACAACTCTACGTAGAAAAAATAAAAGAATTTTACAAAAGACAATGTCAGAGGGAGAGATTCTTTTAGATGTGTAAGTACACAAATTGTGATTATTTCATGTGTTTCAGAGCACCCAACCTCTGAAACTGTACTTTAAAAAAAAAAAACCTTCAAAATTATGTATTTTGAAAGTATTTTTTTAAGTCTACCCTTTTTGATTGATAGATGGACGAGATGCCAAATTTCTCAGTCTCTCTGTAATCGTCTCTGGTAACCGTTGAAAAGGTAGGCTTGTATAATGCAATAAAATAAAAATAAAAACTTCAATTTCCATTTTTAGTAGGAAATCTGAAATTCTCACTAGCGGGGAAGGAGCCAAAGATGCTCCCTTAGTAATGTCAACAAGTCAGGAAAACATGACCAGAGAAGATCGCGAGCGTGAGGCTGTATATCGGCAATACATAAGTCAGGATTACAACCAAACTCCCATCAAAGATGAGGGCATCTTCGGTTTTGAACCTGATGGTTCATTTAGGTAAAAACATTCACAATGAAATACTACAGTATTATTTTTTGCTTTTGAATTTCATAGTCATAGCATTAAGCACTTCGAACTTTTACAAACCACAATACACTCATTCAACGGTTACATTTTGGACACAAAATAGTAACTTTATAGTTGCATTGCTTATTATAACAACAATATCATTCTTTAAAAAAATGTATGCTTAGCTTCCATTCATTCACCGCTATGTAAATGTCTTCATAGTTCTTCAGATGGAAATGCACCATATGAAGATTTTCACGAAAAATATATTAGTTACAAGCATGAACCATTTAGAAACAGGAGTGTGAGTTTTGAAGATAAGCCTGAAATCATTAGTAAGAAGGACGACATTCTTGAGAACAGGTACGCAATACTTTTCGCTCAGGCTTTTAAATATATGTACAAAGCTCTCGCAAAGTTTAAATACTGTTTTCAACTTGTAGCTTGGACTACATGCTTGATGCTAACAATATACTGAATATATATTTTTTTGTAATTTTAACAAAACCCATCCCATTTACACTTTAGAGGTTAATCACAAGATATTTGGTAAACCCATTTCAGCACTGCTAAGTCCAGTCCAGGATCACCGGAACCTAACACTTTAGGTAAAGACAATGATGAAAACTCAAAGAGGACAATCACTTCAAATAACTTAACGACGATCTTAGCGCCTTTAGAAAAAACTTCACCGTGTGCTTCTAATGAGTCACTTACTGTAGACCCTACTAGGTAACTGCAAATAAGTTCGTCGACAACATAATATATTTAGTGAATGTCTGAATACCTATTTCTTTACGATTCCATATTTTGCAGAGACCATTCCGACGGCATGTGGAACGAATCACAAACGACTGTTTTACAAGTGGATTCAGGTACTGAAAATGGAACTGTTATAAGGTTAGTTTCTATTATCATCAATGATAGATTAATCTCCAAACAGCAAACACTTCTTTATAATAAGTATAATATTAATTCACAGCTCCTCAGATGTCAGTTCACTAGCTGCGTCGCCAGGAGCTCTGGCACTATTAACTCCTACATCGAGAAGAAAACAACTTCTATTATTGCAACATCAACAACGATCTTCTTTAGATACTGACGTTTTGGACGAAGAGTTTGATGCTTCACAGGTTAATACGTAATTAGATTCATACAGCAAAGCTTATGTTGTGATTTGAATTCAATACTATCTGATCACAAAAATTTATGACACTTTAAACTTCACAGAGCCAATCACCGACATCGCCAAGAAACAAATTAGACACATCAAGTTCGAGTTCCGCCCAAGCTAGATCATCATTATCGCCTCCTGCAGTTGTACCTAATGTTTTACCAATTACAAAACAACCAACCATTTCCAAAGCGGTGTCACAGATAGGTTTACCAAAATTAAATCATACACCTGCTATTGCCATTACTCATCCAAGCGTGGATTTGGCAGATGTTCCTTTTAAGAGGACTCCCAGTTTCATTAACAAAAAACGTGAAAGAGCCCTAAGTCCATCGAGGAGAAGAGATTTACAAAAAAAGGCACAGCAGAAAGAACCAAATGGAACTATTCCCAATCAAATCATCGAGTCTCCATCTGAACCATCTCTAAGTAAGCCGGCGAGTAGTGAAACAAGTTTAGCTAGGACAGATTCGGGTAAGATAAATACCACTGATGTATCAGAAAGTACAACAACTACTGAAGACTATGTGACAGCGAACTCTGATAGCTCAAAGAAAAGTAATTGTAAGAATCAAAATCAAAGTAAGAAACATTTCAATAGCTGGTACGGCTTAAGCATCTTAAAAGAGAAATTGATAACGGCATTCTTCATTTTAGATCCCGAAAACAAAGCACAAGAAGGATCGTCATTTGAAAGTGCATCTAGTTTGTATTCCTCAACTCGTACTGATAATATTGCTGAAGATTTAATTTTACCAAGTTATTCGCCTCCTCTTCGACTCAATGACGATTTCATAGTGCCAGACTTATCTTCACCTCCATTACCAGTACCAGATAGAATCCCAAGAGCTTCAGTTGAAAGAATTGAGGTCAAGGCTGAAATCACTCCAGAAAAAATAAAGAGAGAAAAGACTGAGATTAAAAATAAGGAGATCCCTCTAAAGGTTTCAAAAGTAAGTAAATCAGAAATGTAAAATATGTATGTTTAATCACTTATATGGGTGTGTCTTAAAGACAGTGAACTTTAGGTAACACGTGTTGCGATGAGCGGGAAAAGCAGCTCCAGTGGGAGTTACAGCATAGGAGGTTCCAATCCTAACGTAACCGAAGAAGTACAAGAAGAGACTCCTACAGAAAAGCTAGCAGATTTACCAGAAAAAGTAGAAAGTAAACCAAAAGAGGAAAAAGTTAAAACACATATGACCGAAAATGAACAACTAGTACCCAAAATGATCGTATGTATCACAAGTAAAGCAAATTTAACCGTACTAAATTATAATGAAAAGCTTACTAACAATAAGGTGAAATATTTTTAGGGTTCATTATCTGATGATGAACGAAGCGTCCATTACTCCTCATCCGGATACTATGAAAGCCCTGTTGAAGATGATGATGATGGTGGTTTAAGTAAGTATATTTAATCTGAATTAGTTTAATATTACATGTAATTTATTTTTGAAATTTAACTAACCACTATTGTTCTATGTACAAACATATCTGTTGGAAATTTGATCATTAACTTAGACAAAATTTACGTGGCAGCTTATAAACATTCTCAAAAGTACCGGTCCACTAGCAGACCAAAACTATCGCTAAGTGAAGAAAAGAGACGAAAAAAGAAAGCATTTACTTTGGAATTCTCAAAATCGTATGATGATTCCTTATCTACCTCTCAAGACGATTGGGGTAGGAAGACGAAAGACCCCGACAGTATCAGCCAAAAGTCTGAGCGCTCTGCTCTAAAACCGTCGAACACAAAATTTCCATTAGAAGAGAAGGCTTCTGAAATACGTAAAAAGAAAACTCATTTCGTAGAAAAACCCAAAAGCGTCCAATCTTCACCTAGAGAAATGATTGAAGTAGAAAAATCTATTAAGGATAAGCTATCAAAAGAAAAAGAAGAAGCCAAGCGACCACCGGAACGAGAACGTTACGTCAAAAGAACTAAGCTGAAACCAAAAAGTCCTACACAATCTAAAAGTATTGACAATCATAGTTACCATAGGCCACAACTTTACGATCGAAGAGAAGGTATGGGTTCTAACATGAAATTGCATTTTAACATTCCTACATCCGATGACTCTAGTGAGCAATATCGTAAAGAGGGTACGAGTAACGGGAATATTTCTCCCAGAAAACATAGAAGATTGCGTGATAGTCCTAGAAGAAAAACAGGTGCTAATTCTAACAATGCTAAATCTCCTACAGCCGCTAACAATCATTCAGGATACAGGTACTGTCTTAATTGGAACAAGATAACAACATACGATTTTGGGTTTTTCTTATACTTTCAATCTTTATTTAATATAAATTCCAGGCCGAGGAGGAAAAGTGGTTCAAACGAAAGCATATCATTACCCGGTAGTTTGCCTAGAAGAAAACAATCTATTCCAACAATACCGTGCTTGAGTTCTTTAGAAGCAGAAGATATTGAAACTGCTCGGACTCTTACCAATGCAGGATCTAGATTGACTCCTTTACGTTACATAAAAAGTCCGACTACTTCACCACGGCATCATCGAAAACAAGGTATGAACTGCGGCTATTAATCTGAAAATTACATAATAACCAAATGATCGAATTTAAAATACATTAAAGATTAATTAAAAAATAAAAGCTACTAATGTATTTTTATTTTCATAGAAACTAAGTTTGCAAAAGCCGCATCAGCCGAGTCCTTGCGTTCCGTATCCCCGGGATCCGATTCCGTCTTCTATTCTGAGCAAACAGAACAGAGTTTGGCTGGTGCTGATGGAGAAGCTAAAGCACATTGTTTGCACTGCGGCAAAGAAGTTCATATTGTGACAGCTGCCCACGAACACGACAGTGTGGCTTCAAGGACTTCACACACAGATGTAAGTACCAAAGTATAAATACAAGTAGCGAACTTCTACACGTGTTTTTTTATAATATGCTACTCACATCAACTCATCAAGTTCTCAGTACTCTCAAAAAATAACAAATTTAACAAAACAAGCTTCGGAGTTTATCTCATCTCTTATATTTAAATTTGAAAGCAAGTGATTACCTTTCGAGGTTCAGATACCCAAATATTGATGTTGTACACTAATATTATCTTACTGTTATCATGATTTAAGCTAACATACATCAAGATCGTTCATGAGAGTTGCACTATAAATAAAATAGCTTTATATATTATAATGACAATGTCATTCTTAGGTTTCTTATGAACCCTTTTCGTCGTCTAAGTAAAAAATGTTAATTAGAAATAAAGAACGCTCGTAATGGATAGCTACAGTTAAGTATATTTCAGGAATCGTACGCAGATGCTACTCCAGATATAGTACCAGCTCCGGCGGGGTTCGCTGATTCACCATCATGTATTTCATCCAAAAAGCACACAAGTGGTGCGAGACTGTACAAGAAACTTGACAAACGATATCGGTCTGAGGATAAATCGAGGCATCATTATCGCAACAGACAGGATGTGCGAGCTAAGGTATGAGTTTCACTTTGTCTTTTGCAAGTGAATTAAATCGATTTACTTTTTTGACACGAAATGTTCCATTTATTCATGATGATGCCATCAAATATTTTATTCTCTTTTTGAATAAGCTTGCACAATAATATGTCTTGAGTGATATTAGATTTTTCACTAAAACAAGGATTGTCTGGGGTTATTATACATTCTTTTAAACTTGAAATGTACTTCAATGGACAGCAGGGGCTCGGGCAAAAACTGTATAAAGCGCAATAGAACGACTTTGTATCGTCAGCTCTAGGATCATAATTTCTCTTACCGAACTTTGGATCCAAACAATTTGCAAAATTATCGCAAGGTTCGCCAAGTATAGATAAATCAGCTATTCCCCGCATTGTATACCAGCACATAAAGTATGAAACTGATACACGCCATATGAATCGTTCTTGTGGTCCATCAAATGGCAATCCTGTTTTATCTGCATAAAATAATATTTTTTTACAATCTTGATCTAATTTGTTGATCAAATTGAGATCTACTAAAGTTGAGTTATTGTTTAAAATTGTTACGGTATCATCCCTTCTTTTGAATGGTGCCACTTCAATAACTTTATGTATATAGCTAATACATTTATAGAAATCGTTATAACAATTTTCATGAACTTCCCAATGCAAAGATCGTAGACTTGGTTCCGGAAATTTAGTATAAAATCCAAAGGTGTTTCGATTGGTTTTATTTCTGTAAAATCTTCGATCCCATTCATTAAACTTATGATTTCTTATGTAAAATGCGATATCTTTTATGGCTTTCGTCTTCCATGTCTCGTCGAATACTTCATCACCATGTTCATCTCTTGATGATGTCAGCATTATATACTTTAAGTAGATAACATATAAAAGAACAATTAATCGATGATAAAGTATCATCGCAACAAGTAAAACATCTACCTGTCATTGAAAATATAATTAGATTGTAATCACTTCATTCAATTGCGTCAAAAGTGATATAAGATTCCAAAGAGAATATACTGAAGATAGACAAAAATAGCTTTTATAAACCATGATCAATATTAATGGATAATTAAATAATTCACCCAGTCGGAAGAAAGAGGCAAAGAGGAATATGCTTATTCTGATAAACCTACAGACACACGCATTGCAAGATCTGCAGGAAATAGCTTAGATAAACTCGGTAGCACCAGCGCAGGCGTTGATCCTGATGGTAAGTATTCTTGATGATGATACTATTAAATTTGAAATTTAATTATATAACTAAAACTAGATTTAAAATAAATCTATATATATACTACTTCAAGTAGTATAAAATACAATATTAGTAAATGCTTTAATTAGTTCCTTATAAAAGTGTATGAGCAAAAACGAGCCCACAGCATTCACGTTCACATAGTTGTCAGGTAATACGAAAATATTTGTTTATGTAACAGAGCAAGAAGAATGCTCTGGAAGCTCTGAGGGTGCAGAAGGCATTCGAGACGAAAAAGGAATCTACGCCTCACCCTGGTGGTGTGGCAACTGGATCCTTCTATCGGAGAATGATGATCAATGGACGAGGATCCCGCCAGGTATTACCATGGCTTTAATATAATAACCACATATTTCAACTTTAGTCTTAAATCATAAGGTCTTCAGCGTTTAAATACAGCCTAAGCCAAGAGTCTTAGATTATAGTTAAACTTACGCCACCAATATCTAAAGGACTTTAAAGTCTTGTGCACAAAAGTTGATAAGACAATATAAGCTCCCCGGGCACCCTACCTTTATTTGGGCCTGAAGGAGCCAGTCTTTGGCGATAGGCTCTGTTTTTAAGTTTCTGTGTTCCTTCCGAGGCAACCCGGGTTGGGAAGGGATGGAACGCGCCCCCCGAAATGATAAGGGAGCCGCATACGAAGGGGCACAAAGTAGGTCCCCGCTGTTTGTAAGATTTGATATTCAATTTCAATAATACGTGTTTATTATCAGACGTTATAGAAACATTAGAGACCGGTAAAGACGACCCAACTGACTCCGAGACGGAATTCAACAAGAGATATGTCGCGTTGACACACCGTCTAGTACACAGAAGAGCCTGTATTGAACTACACCGTCGACAGGCTAACAACACATTCGGTAAGTTAATTACACGGATAATAATGTTTAAGAATTAAGACGGTATTTTTTCTTAGAGTCCACATACATAGTCTTGGAGACAGTCGAGCTAAATCTTTATTGAGAACTCCTTAGTAAAACTTAAAATATTTTATATGATTTTATACTATTATTGTGTGTAATGTTTTGTTTTGTAGTTTTAGTTCCAGTGTCGCCGTTTCTATTAAATCGCACCCTTTTTTTTCTTTTTTCACTAACATGCAAAAACATATTTTTTGACGTGACAACGTCTTATAATTCGATGGAGCCGGCTGCACGCACGAAAAAACATGACCCATGCGGCGTTACCTCGCTCTGAGGCGTTCCACGATCACGTGGCTAAACTGGCAATAATTTTTTCCAATTATTTGACGACAACAAAGACGCGATCATGGAACGCCGTAGTCAATTCGAGTCTAATTTGAACATTGAAAACGTCATGAGAGAATATAGAATCACGATCAATTCAATAGTGATTTCCTATATCCTTCTTCTCTATATCCATACAAAATATCTATCAAACAATTATAATTAAAATTTTCTTTTCAAAAATGAAACCATTCCATCAGTATTTTCTTATGACGTTGTCACGTTCAACGATCGTCAGTTAAGCGACTTTACATACAACCGATTTTTTTACATTAGATCATTCTTCATTAAGATTGAATGATGTTCGATTCTTGATACGTCATTGAAGTACGAAATCAATTTTGATTTTACTCCAACTTTATATTATATTACATTAGAAGTAGATTAGAGAATTATAGTGACACAGAGGATAGATTCGATAAGGTCGGTAAGGTTATTGTGGTATGGGCATGTTATACCCCATAGACACAACTCCCTGAGTTTCTCGGCGGATATTCTCAGTGGGTCGCGATTTCGATTCGGTGATAGATTCCGCGAAGCACTGCTGTTGTTAGGGTTAGCAAATTCTCTCAGGTTGAGCCCGTGAGCTCACCTACTCGTCCGGGCTTAGCTGGAATAACCACTTAGGCTACCACCGAATAGGCAGGGAAAAAAAAAAAACAAAAAATATATTAAGCGAAGAAAATATGGTCATATGGTCAAAAAGACCCTGCATAGGAAAGAAGACGATAATCTGAGGTGAGGGCTTTCTAAAAATACTTGAATAGACAGTGTGAAAGGGGATATGCGAGTATGAGTGCAATGATGACGTATGGTAGGCTGAAATGGAAAAAAGGACATAGTGCACCGACTCCACATAGTGAGTTAATGGCAAGAAAACTAATGATTGTAGATTAGTTGACGATGACCTGCCTTAATAATATTGAAATGGTAAAGCAGTACACGTATTGATGAGGAGATTCGTATTTAAATGTACAGCGGAAACTAATGATAACTGAATGACAGAGAAGTTTAACACAAAGACGCCGAGAACGTACTTGTTTTTTTTTCCTACCTATTCCACCTTGAGAGGCAATTTCAGCTTCCCCTTGACGTGCAGATGAGCTCATGGGGCTCAAACCAGGTGTGTTCCTAACACTGGCCCTAGCAAGAGCCGTATTTCACAGAACCTACCACCGGATCGGAAACGCGACCCACTAAGAATATCCGGCGAGAAACTCAGTGGGCTGTGTCTACGGGCACCTTCTACGAAGACAGATTATAGTATTTACAATGAATAGAATAGATGGATAGAAAGGCCTGTCGTATTTGGCCCGTTGATAGCCAAAGGGCTATTCCAACTACACGTGGACGGGTAGGTAAGCTCACGGGCTCAATCTGAGATAATTTAGCACGGCAGAAATAGGCAGGACAGGCGACAAACTCAGTGGGCTGTGTCTATGGGTTAATTTACTCGTCGAGCTCTTCGTCCGTACCTGTATCTCTACACGAAACTAAATTAAAACTCCGAAACGTTTTTCGCATTGCGTCACAACTATTACAGACCCAAATGACTGGACCGCTCTACATCGCGTCGTGACGTAAGCGGCCTATTTCGAGTACTACATCTATTTTAAAACTCACAACAGAAGTATTATTTCGAGTGACCACCGAATTCTTTCTTTCGCTTCGAATATCCGTTGCTTCTGCTAACCGTGAATTTAGATAGCGCTTTAACGCGATGTGAATCATTTAAGACCTTGACACGTAAATTTTTCTGCAATAAATAATTTTGATAGTTATTTGATTAACTTTATTTATGAGCGTAAATTTGTCCATGAACATAATAGCTTGAATGAATACCACCGCTAATTCAGAGTACCCTGAACATTTTTTCGTACTAATTTGATTCAAATATTATTTTGATGTGAATTTATACGTTCGACAATCCACCTGTTTCTCTGTCGAAAATATCACTTTAAGCAATAGGACCGTTGTTTATTTTGAGCGTGCAATAATATTTATTTACCCCACTTTTTATTTGAATTGGTTGACTAATATGAATCACGTAGTGGACTCATAGCATCCTTCTATCTATATATTAATACGTGAAGCAAAAACTTTGTACTCGCTCTTTACGAAAACTGTGCAGATGCAGGAGTATGCTATTTCCCACACTTATAGAGAATATAGAGAAGGAGTGCAGAATGTTCATATTTTTTTAAAATTGTGAATCAAAAATACATTAAATCAATGAAAAAAACATTACACACACTATAATGTATTTGACACACACATATATTATAACACATACTCTTTAATTATTGTCAAACTTTTCTTATTGCTTTTATAGTTTGTGGTCAAATTGAGAATAGATTAAAATCGTTTGTCTTTATTGATATTTGTCTATAGTTTAGTCTTGTCAAAATTTGTGATTATAGAAGTATAATAAATAGTCTTTGACAATAGAATCATAATAATGTCCAAACTTATAATTTCAATTAATAATTATAATCGAATTTTGACAACTGCGGGACCACTAGTATCAATAATTAGGCAATGTTATGATTTTATCTTACACTGCGCCCTCCCCTTTCAGCGTTTCTGAATCGCTAGCAGGATATCTTAGAATGGCAAATGAATTAAAAGCTATAGCTTCCAATTCACATCTATAATTTTCATATAAACTTATCTTAATATAAAAGTAAAAAAATATTAGTACGCATTAATCTTTGACTCCGCGTTCTTAATACGACCGATTTTCAAACCAGCAACCGTTAGATAGTTAATAAAATATATCGAGAAATAAATCGGACCGTACGGAAAAACTAATTTTATTTTCGCACTGTGATTGGGGCATGAGTCTTCAGTAGCACACCGAGCGCTACTGCGTGAAGACTGACTAAAATTATATTCGCGTGTGAACGTTGATCATGGTGTATTGATTTTGAAACTAAAACTCGGCTTACACGACAGTTATTGCTTACAATGACGTAAAATTACAGTGCATGCGTTGTTGAGCTCTGTGACAGCTATTATCGGTGAAAAAATAGAGCCTTGAACTACACTTAATCTTGAAAATGGTGCAGAGTGAGTAGTAAGCTTGAACGAGCTTTGCTCTTTCCTTTTTGTAGACAAGTGAAGTTATTTTTTACCGGTTTCTGTTTTTTTAGTTAGAGAAATGTTGAACTTAAAAGGAAACTTGAGGCAGAAGCTCGAAGAGATATTCAAGCTGATGCTGGTTCTGTGGTGTCGACAGTGCCAAATTAACAAACTCGTTGCCCCGGAAGTTTGTGGTAAAATGAAGAATTCATTTTATTTGAATAACTAACAAACAGTGGATTTAGTCCAGATTAACAAAAAATAAAAAATACTTATTAAAAAACTAAAAACATAACGTTTAAAATTGGTAAAAATTCTATTTTAAATTAATTTTGTAATTAAATTATATTAAATTTAAATTAGAAATATAACATCTTCGCTTAAAAGAGTAAAGTATATTCGGACTTGCAAACAGAAAATATTATTTAATAAAATATATTTAAGAATTGCACACTGTAGGTCGTTTTTGTCGTGTTTTTATTAACACCAGTGAAGTCCACCAATATTATTATTTCAATCGTATTAAAGAAATATAAATGTATGAAACATACATATTCTATGAAACTACACTGCACCAGCTACATTTTTTTTTCTTCTTTCCTATGCTGATAGCATTGAGAGGTTATTTTAGCTTCACCCTAACATGTAGGTGAGCTCACGGAGCTCAAACCGGAGTGTTGCTAATACTGGCCCTAGCAAGAGCAGTGCTTCGCAGAATCTACCAACAGATCGGAAAGGCGACCCACTGAGAAGATCTGGCGAGAAACTGTCTATGGGTTAATTCGCTCGTCGAGCCCTTCGTCGCGGGCGATGAGTTCGACGAGGACGGTGACCGGTGACCAGCTACTGTGATAAATCAACAGCAGTGCTAACACGGACGCATTATCTAAATTGCCAACAATAATTATACCAAGCTTCCTCGTAATCGAATATACGGCTAAAAAACGCATAGAGACGAAACACACGAATATTATAATTTTTTTTTTACATAGATAAATAAATCATTAGTTTTAAAAACAACCAATACTATTTATCCACAGAAACTATCTGAATTTGCTCATTAACTTGCTGCGACAAACTATTCTCCTATTAGAAGATCGTAGATAATGTACAAGATTTTGTATTGTACAATGCATGAAACTATTCTAACGTTTTTTTTCTTTTCTTTCATCGATCCAGACAGAAAATGCACATTCAAACGACCTTAACTCACCCCAGTGAATACCAAAGTAATCTCTATGAATGAAAATTTCGTTTTCGCATATCTGGATATCGGCCAGAAAGCATTTGGATTCAATTTTAGTTTAAAACAAAAAACAAAAAACGGATGTGTTACTTCAGCATTCAAGTATGCAATTATCGATTCTGTAATTCGCAAAAATCGCATTTACATAATATACGTTCTGTTTGCAATTTCACCGTGTTTTTTCTAAGATCACGACTTTTCTCACCGCTACCCGATATTATGGTTCTGATTTCGAGATTTATATGTCACGGTCGGACATTAATACGGGACTTAGCACCGTCTGTAGGTCAACAATGTGGCTATTTTAATACGTTTTTATTAGCTTCAGACGTAGTATGTATGTTTGTAACGGAATCTTTGAACATGATTTTGACCCCTTCAAAACGTCGGATTAACTCGAAATTTGGTATACTTTTAGGAACCGATGACAATTCAATAATAATAAAAAAATTTGAAAAAATTAAAACTCAACTAAAAAATGAAAAATAAATAATAGTTTAAAAAAACTAACAAAATACGCTTTGATAGGGTATATCAGTAGTTATAAATATTTTATGAGCAGATATGAGTAGAAGGGCTATTTTGATAATATCCTGAAAAGCACTTTTTTATTACACGATTTTAAATTCAAATTTATTAAAATTTATTTTCAATTTTTGGAGTTTACTCCTTTAGAATCGATTTACATATATAGGCCCGGGGTATGAAAATTATGGGGACCAAAATCGTACTAGCATGTCACACGAAATGCGTTATGCGCCTGATTGCGCATGTCACACGAAATGCGTTATCGCAGGTGACGCCGGGCTGCTGCGCCGGCAGTCCGCCACAAAGCCTCGTACTGATCGCGCGTTTCTCTCATTATTGTATTTTCATATATTTGTTAGTCGTTTGTTTTGTGTCTCGTTAATTTGTTAATAATCTGTAGTGTATCGTGTTGTCGTAATATAGAACTATTTCTCGTATTGTTTCGTTTAATTTTTTATATCCAGTAAACTCCAGTCGTGCGTCGGAGCGGACACACACACTTTTTTATTTGCTTTTTCTATAAAAGCGCATTTTGTTAGTTTTTTTTAAACTATTATTTATTTTTAAATGAATACTAGATGTGGCTCGCATTTTGTAATTCAAAAGTAATGAGATACGTTTACTAGTGGTTTGGCGTATAGTAAGCCCGCGAGGGTAGGTACCACAATCTTGCCTGTTTCGACCACGAAGCAGTCACGCGGTCCAGTTAAAGGAGTGGGACGACCGCTATACATTTTTTGCAGAGACAGGTGAACGAACTCACAGCCCGCTTACTGTTAAGTGGTCACCTGAGCTCATTGATATCACAACGTGATTGCCAACGCCCACCTTGAGGTTTATATCTCGATTTTATAATGAGTACGGAAATTATAGTTTTTGCAAATTTGATTTTAATTGCACGATGTTATTCGTTGATCGTGGAAATCATTGGTGAAAATGAGTTAGAAATGAATATCATTAGAAAATTGTATAACTACTGCGACATTTTAGAGTGCTATGGTCGTGTCGCTCGATATAAAACCTGTCTTCTTTTATTTAAGGCCATTATTACCACTTCGAAATTCATTACGTTTGCGACATCCATCTCATGTCTTAAGATAAGTGGCAGCATACACTCTGTGATATCTATAGGCTTCGGTAATCAATTTACAGCCCGTAAGCTTGTTCAGACATCCGAGAAATAAATGAATAACATAAAAATTAAGAAAAACTTAACTAAATTTACTAACCTTATTTTGGCGTTCACAAAACAACTTCGAATCTTGAATATGGTGCGCATAAAAGCGTCTGTTATTCCCGCAATTACTAATATATAAATCTACAGTGATTTTTAATGATGTTCCGTTATAACTACTGAACCGTGCATCCGATTGACTTGAAACTTGGTATCCATGTAGAAAATACATGTACTTTATGGATAGGCTAATATTTATATGAGCGTTGGACTCCCTACACCAGTTGCGGGGGCGTCAATGATGAGAATCTTTGTGGGGGTTATCTGGAACCGCTGCGTTCATCAACAGTGCATTTCCAGAGGTCTTTTTTGCCACGTACCATCCGGCTATGGAATGAGCTCCCCCTCCACGGTGTTTCCCGAGCGCTATGACATGTCCTTGTTCAAAACAGGCTTGTAGAGAGTATTAAGCGGTAGGCAGCGGCTTGTTTCTGCCCCTGACACTGCTGAAGTCCATGGGCGACGGTAACTACTCACCATCAGGTGGGCCGTACGCTCGTCTGCCTACAAGGGCAATAAAAAATAATAATAATAATAATGTTAATTTTAAATGCCCAGCGAAGCGGACGGGTACAGCTAGTATATGCATAATAAATAAACTGTTTGCGTTTTCAGAAAGCGATAAGGCAGTGGTAGTGAAGCGTGGAAACGAAGAATTCGGTTTCCGGATTCATGGGAGTAAGCCTGTCGTTGTATCGGCCATTGAACCCGACACTCCTGCCGAAACCTCCGGCCTAGAAGTCGGCGATATTGTCATCGCTGTGAACGGTGAGCGAATATATACAGTCAGTCCATGGATACTAATGAAAAATCATTAAGGCAAAAATTCGACAATTTTTCTTCACTTTAGCGGTTATGTAAATTCATAAACTTAATTATTAATCAACAACTATGTATTTCCAAACAATCTTTAACTGTTCATTCATACAACATATTAATGTCTAATCAATTACTGTTTTGTTTTTTTACGTAATTATTAATCACGTTGAAAAATATTATTATGATGCCTTAGTAAACATGCATTTTATTACAGTTCTCATTTTACCTAAGATCTGCACTATTTTTTTTATAGTAAAGTAACTCTTTCTTTGTGAGTAATTGGTGTATTATTTTGAGAAATTTATCACTTTTACCGTAATTGAGACCTTAAATACATTATGATGCTATTTGCTGTAAAAGTTAATTTGGGTGTTATTCTTTTTATATTAATACCAAATCTAAAAAGTTATCCATAGTTAAGTCCAATAATAAAATCAACTACGAACAGACGGGGTCATAGTTAATGCCACCACATTTGAACTATGAGGTCGAAATTTTAAGAAGAACAGTTATATCCACGAAAGTACTTCCTACCAATCATGTTAGGGAAGAAGCTGAGATGACACCTTCAGCTCTAACACTAGGAGCAGGCTTAGGGATCTCGGTAACCGTGCAACTTAACCCTTGCATCAGCCCGCTGAGTTTCTCGCCGGGTCTTCTCAGCGGGTCGCGATTCCGATCCGGTAGTAGATTCATTCGCGAAGCAGCTGCTCTTGAGTTGTTAGGTCTCCTTCGGAGGCGCTCGGGCAGCTGTTAGCAAATCCCACCCCGCCTGGCTGAGCCTTGCTCGCCCACCTGTCCTGGTGAAACTGGAAAGGCCTCCGGGCCACCAGTAACACTTCAATCTTAAAAAAAAAGCTGAGGTAGAAAGGAGACGCTACGAGAAAATACTGCGCATTAAGAAAGTATAGCAGTAGCTACATACAAATGTGCCCTAGGTTGCGTATTTCTGTGCCCTTATGAGGGGCCAGAGAGAATGGTATAGGATTTACTGATCACATTTTTTTATAGCTATAGTTACGAGCGTAGATAAGTGGATCAGCAATGCCAAGAGCAGAAACTGCTTATTGGTAATTAGTAGTGGACAGATTTACTGGCCTAAAACATTTTTTTTAAGTCAATCATATTTTACTTAAGTAACATCGCTCTAATGGATAGAAGATTTAAAATCCATTCGCCTTTCTGATCTAATAGGGTAATAAATTTTGATGCTCGCAAACCAGATCCTTTAGCAGTTTCTATTTTAAAATTTCAGAATTTAGGTCAAATTTTTAGGTCACTGCGATTGTGACGTTCAATTCGCTGAATTCATAGTGGGTTTTTCTTGTATTCGCACAGATTTGACTGAAATTACTTCTAAGATTTATTAATATCGTGTATCATATCTTCATTTACCAAATAAAATGACGATGAATGATTGTTATAAATTTGTAGTAGCTAGCTTTTAGTAATCAAATTTGTTTTTTTCGCCATAAATCTTTGGCTGTCCAATGAAGCATTTAAATTGTTTAAAATCGTAATAGAATTCAAGTAAATTATTATAACTATAATTCTTGTTACAGGGATCAACGTTTTGGATAAAACACATTCGGAAGTCGTAAAGATTGCCCATTCCGGATCAGAAATACTCGAACTAGACGTGAGTCTTCTATACTAATATTATAAAGAGGAAAGATTTGTTTGTTTGTTTCGAATAGGCTCCGAAACTACTGGACCGATTTGAAAAAATCTTTTTCCATTAGAAGCCGACATTGTCCCTGATGAACATAGGCTACTTTTTTTTTATTTTTCTTATTTATTTTTTTTGGTTTCATGTGTGTTTTAAATTTTCCGAAGCGAAGCGAGGGCGGGTCGCTAGTTCATTAAATAAAATAGTTAGTAATGTGGAAATTATCCAATTTTTTTTTTTACTTTTTCATATAATATTTTCATATTGGATAATCGTTTAAAAATAGGGAGCCCATAGCAAATTTTGTTAGTTTCATAATATTCTTTTTATTATATTGATCGTGGAAGTAAAGCTGTTAGTGTGGTCTTTCCTTAAAAAAATAATGATACTTTCCTGCGGAATTTGAAGTCCAGCCTCCTCGCATCGCCCGATACAACCAAACCAGTGTGCCTAGTGCCAGTTTTTTTACATTCTCGATAGCGTAAAAGTTCGCTCAAATTTGTATGCAGTTGGAACAGCGCCCTTAGCGGCAAACTATAGCAAACGTTCCAACTCCATACAAATTTAAATTAACTTTTACTCTATCGAAAACGTTAAAAATCTCGCACTAAGCACACAGGCGGCTTATCGGCCGCGAACTAAGTATCTACAGACGGCATCGCTGCGCCACTTTGAGAAGGCGGCACGACATGAGAACCCTCTTGTCGTGACCGCTGGAAACTACATACCCGACCCTGTAGACCGAATGGTAAACCGTCGACGTCGCCCAAAGCAAGTCATTACGGATCCTCCTGATCCATTAACGGTGCTTTTAGGCACCAAAAGCACCGGTCACCGTCCTCGTCGAACCCGTCGCTTGCGACGAAGGGCTCGATGAGCGAATGAACCCATAGACACAGCCCACTGAGGTTCTCGCCGGATCTTCTCAGTGGGTCGCGTTTCCGATCCGGTGGTAGATTCTGCGAAGCACTGCTCTTGCTAGGGTCAGTGTTAGCAACTCTCCGGTTTGAGCCCCGTGAGCTCACCTACAAACGTTAGGGTGAAGCTGAAATAGCCTCTCAAGGCTATCAGCACAGGTAGGAAAAAAACGGCCGCGAACGCAAGCATTTGTGTATGTCTGGAAATTTGTTTTGAGAACAGGTAGCCAGGACTTGTGACGTGGTCGCCTCTTTGGCCCACGAAGGGGGTCCGGCGGCTCTGTACTCCGGGTACTTGTGGCGAGCCGCTCCCTTGCGCCCGCACCATCCCCCGCGCTGGACCCGCCGCTGGTTCGTCCTGAAGAGGGACAACTGCTTGTATTATTATAAAACGGATTCGGTAAGTTGATGTAAGGCGGCTGGCTCACTGAGTTTCTCGCCGGATCTTCTCAGTGGGTCGCGTTTCCGATCCGGTGGTAGATTCTGCGAAGCACGGCTCTTGCTAGGGCCAGTGTCAGCAACACCGGGAGTGTTTGAGCCCCGTGAGCTCACCTACACGTTAGGGTGAAGCTGAAATAGCCTCTCAAGTCTAGTATAAGTAGGGAGAAAAAAAAAAGTTGAAGATGTCAGGTGTCTTAAATAGTGACGATAACACATATTATTTAATTTCCAGAGTATACATCCCGTTGGAGCTCTAATGCTAGTGAACTATCAGTTGACTGAAGAAGATGTAGGTAAGCCTCACGGATTCCGACTGCAGCGCGGCGGCGGCGTGAGACTGCAACTAGCCGCGGACACTGCCGAAGCGGCGGCTAGATGGCGCGCAGTGCTGGCACATGCCATTGACGCTAGTAATCAGGTATAACTGAATTTTTTAAATTTAATTTAATCACTAATAAAGACCCATTACCCTTAATAAAGACCCTTACTATCAATACAAATATTAATAAAGATAGGTACTAAACGTAACTCGAATATTGTGAACTTAAAAACGAAACGTGAAACGATTGCATTCTTCATTGCATTTAGTCCCTAGCCTGTGTAATAGATGGCGCTGTTATAAATAAATATTGTAACTGCTTTTAATCTTCTTCATTTTCATTTTATAATTTCGGACATTTCAAATTTAATTTATAGTTTATGTGAATACGGCGATTGAAATGTTACTCATTCTATAATATATACGACTAAAATTACCCTAAAAGTAGTTTTAATTATGTTAGTTGGAGACGCTAAAACTAAAGGAAATAAATACCCTATAACCCGGTAGATACGTATAATTAATACTATTCCCGGGTTAATACCTAAAGTATTTTTTTTGTTTTTAGCGAGACGGTTGGCTAGAGGTAACGATGAGGAACATGAAGCTTCCGCCATCTTCGATCCCGCGGCCCGACTGTTTCGGATACCTAATGAAACTTGGCTCCAAATGGAAGTCCTGGGCGAAGAGATATTGCGTCCTTAAGGATGCCTGCCTCTACTTTTATAATGACGGGAACAGCAAGAGCGCTTTCGGTAGGTCTGAAAAACGAGTCAATACAAGAACCTAAATCACCCTTTCCCAAAGTGGGCGATAACGCCCCCTTGTGGGCGCTGCAGGCCTAAAGGGGGGCGGTAAGAGACCCAGAAAAAAATGGGGGCGTTGTGTAGAGGCCTTGGAGGCGATTTGTAATTCCATCTAGGAGGACTCTTAGACACCGACTGAGCTCTCGCTATAGTGGTTTTTAAGTAGGCTACAAAATAAACTATTCTCAAAGTGGGCAGCAGATGAAATAAGTTTGGGAGCCCCTGACCTAAATGAAGTTTGGACTTGGACTCAAGTTTACAGTGTGTGTTACGCGTTACGTAAGTTACGTTACGTGATGCTCTCCGATCGAAACGGATTGGGCGATTGTTTTGCGACTGAATCCAATACAGAACTCAGTCGAATGTCTGTGTAGTATATATTTTTTTAAATAGTACCCTTATTCAAAGGGGATTGCCCACTCTCCATAGTGTGCTAGGCCCAAGATGGACATCAAATATTACTATAAAAATGTACTGATTCAAATTCTTAAATGTATTGGATATCTAAAAAATATATTGAAATTGACGCCACTATTATAAAAAATATAATAAAAATAAAAACTCGTTTTGAGGTTAATTTTCAATATAAATAAGTGTCGGATTGTGAGATACTTCAAGAACTTTTCTTTTCTTAATGTTTAAGATGTTCCTAATGTATTTTTATCCAACAGGGTATAAAAAACACACTTAATTCTTTAAATATCTATATTTTCTTCATCTTCATACACAATTAGTATCATCTAAAAATAGCAAAAGAGAGCATATACACGGTTTTAAATCTCGATCAGGGTAAAACCACAATTCACACAATGTTTTTAGTCGTAGTATGAAACGTTATTGATAAAAGTAAAATAAATCGAAGAAAAATCAAAACACATCCATTTTGTACGCAAGCACAACANCCACAATTCACACAATGTTTTTAGTCGTAGTATGAAACGTTATTGATAAAAGTAAAATAAATCGAAGAAAAATCAAAACACATCCATTTTGTACGCAAGCACAACACCACAAGCAGCAAGCGAAGTGTCAGTCAGTCAGATTAAATTCAATGTTGTCAGTATAAAGAAAAATAATTACATGAAATTCATATATCGATTATTTTTTTAAACAACGGATAATTGATTTATATCTTAATCTTTTTTTTACGAGTACACATTATTTTTTATGTTTTTGTTTTAGTTGTACATATTTAAATAACAACTAGTAAAGTTTTTTTTATTGCTTAGATGGGTGGACGAGCTCACAGCCACCCTGGTGTTGCTAAGTGGTTACTCGAGCCCACATACATCTACAACGTAAATGCGCCATCCATCTTGAGATATAAGTTCTAAGGTCTCAAGTATAGTTACAAGTTAAAGTCCAATGGGTATGTCTTCGATGTTATTTTATGTGCATAAAATCCATTAAAATCGATTGATTAATGATAATACTTAAAATTATTTATTTATATGTTTTATTTATATACTCAAAATATTTACTTCATACGTAAAAGGTTTTGAAGCTGGCAATATTTTTCCCGCAAAAATAAAAATCCTTGTTTTTTCAATAGTTACTTTTTTTAAACTACTTATTGTAAACTGTAGTGGCGCTTATTTGCAAGAAAGTAAATGCATATTTATTTATGACACAATTAATGCACTAAGTATTTTTTCTGTAATCTATTGTCCGCTTTGGGCCTAAAATGGGCCATCCCCTTTAATTACTGATAAGTAACCCATAGACACAGCACACTTAGTTTCTCGTCGGATTATCTCAGTGGGCAATGATTACGATCCGGTGGTAGATTCTACGAAGCACTGCTCTGGCTAGGGTCTCGTAAGCAATGGTAGGGCTAATGTTAGCAAACTCTCTCAGGTTGAATCCGTGAGCTCACTTACTTAACCGCGCGAAGCTGCCAAAGCCTATTAGGCTAGCAACGTATAGGTAGATTAAATAAAAATTAAAACAGATAAACGAATACAGTACTCGGCGATAAATATTTCACATCAACCTTTGGAAAGAGACAGTCGCTGAATTTTGGCTTCGTATAGTGCTGTCTTTGTCGCACACGCTTATGTAACAAGCACAAAAAAGGGTATATTATGCATAGTTCTATTTGCGTTATAACCCCCGAGAATTGTTGTTGTTCATCCATACTACCTAGAGCCACTGCGGTCATCCACAGTGCGTTTCCAGAGATCTTTTCTGCCACGTACCATCCGGCTATGGAATGAGCTCCCCTCCACGGTGTTTCCCGAGCGCTATGACATGTCCTTCTTCAAACGAGGCTTTTGGAGAGTATTAAGCGGTAGGCAGCGGCTTGGCTCTGCCCCTGGCATTGCTGAAGTCCATGGGCGACGGTAACCACTCACCATCAGGTGGGCCGTATGCCCGTATGCCTACAAAGACAATAAAAAAAAAAAATGCATTTACATTTTCTAGTTCTTCTGTTGCCTGAGATTACTGAGCGTACTGGTGGTAGAACCTCTTGTGAGTCCGCGCGGGTAGGTACCACCACCCCACCTATTTCTGCCGTGAAGCAGTAATGCGTTTCGGTTTGAAGAGCGGGGCAGCCGTTGTAACTGTACTTGAGACCTTAGAACTTATATCTCAAGGTGGATGGCACATTTACGTTGTAGATGTCTATGGGCTCCAGTAACCACTTAACACCAGCTGGGCTGTGAGCTCGTCCAACAACAATTTACACAAAAAAAAAACATAAATGGAACCTGTGGTTATAAAAAAAAAAGGAACTTGAGTTCGAAACAATACAATTAATAAAGTATTTTTTGACTGAATGCGAAATATCTATCTCACCATTAGGGATGGCGTGCCTACACGGCTACAGAATACAGACCTGCGCCCCGGGCGGAAAGAAATATGCATTCGAAGTGATGCCCACCGAACCTAAGCAAAGGCACTTCTATTTCCATACCGAATCAGAAATGGATAGGAAAAGGTAAGTTTTATTTTTTTTACTTACTAAGCTGGCTTGCGGTCAAGTTAACCTTTGCATTAGACACTTTAAGCTCTAACACTAGGAGTAGAGACCCCGGTAACCGTACTCGTTGAACTCGGCAAATATTTCGACAACCTAAACATCAGCCCGTTGAGTTTCTCGCCGGATCCGGTAGTAGATTCATTCGTGAAGCAGTTACTCTTGAGTTGTTAGGTCTCCCTTGGAGGCGCTCGGGTAGCTGTCAACAAATCCCGTCCCTTCTGGTTGAGCCCTTGCTCGCCCACCTGTCCTGGTGAAACTGGAAACGCCTCCGGGCCACCAATAATACGTCAATCATGAAATTAAAAAAAGTATATACAATCTAGAAATTACCTGAAGCTTTAGTTTTTAGAACCTCAATTCATTCGAAGGAAATACAGAATAACTACAAAAATTTGAACCGATTGATTTACTTTTGTTATTGCTACAAATGAGCGAAAAGTCTCGCAATAAAAAATGGAAGTTCGAACTCATGTCCTGAAGTAATTGACGACACTCACATTGCGACGTCAAGAAGTTACAGTGATTACTAGCTGTGAGCCTCTCGGCCTTTTTTTTATTACTTAGATGGGTGGACGAGCTCACAGCCCACCTGGTGCTAAGTGGTTACTGGAGCCCATAGACATCCACAACGTAAATGCGCCACCCATCTTGAGATACAAGTTCTACGTTTCAAGCATAGTACAACTGCTGCCCCACCCTTCAAACCGAAGCGCATTACTGCTTCACGACAGAAATAGGCAGGGTGGTGGTACCCACCAGCGCGGACTCACAAGAGGTCCTACCACCAGTAAAAATCTACCGGCCTATCCGGGTATTTTAAACCTTTTTATTTCTCAGGTGGATGGCTGCTCTGGAGTATTCAATAGACCGATGGATGAAAGCCGGTTGACGGAAACAGCTCGTTTTCAACGAAGTTTTTCACTATTTATAGTTTTCTTTCGAATAAATAATTTGTCTCCCCTTCACATTTATTTCTTATTTCATTTTGATGATCCAATTCTATTTACAATACGCAATTAAGTAATAATAAAACAATTTTATTACGACATATTAGAAGCATAAGTCTCATTTTTTTATTAGATATCCAAGCTATTTCTTTAAGGAATTTATCCAAAAAATGAAAAAAATTGGGATTCCAATAAAAATAAAATATAGACAAACATATAAATAGGATTTAAACCATAAAATATGTGTTACCTTTTTCCTTTGTGGCTGAAAATGCCAATTTACATATTATTAGTTGATTCATTCAACGCGATATTGGTTGTTTGTACTAGGCGGCATATTTTTATGAATGCAATTAATATTAGCGTAACGTCTGCTTCAAATTTCCGATCTAATTATTCCAGTGATGCATTTTGGTTTTAGTTCCAACGATTCGCGTTAAAAATATATCAACCCCATTTTCAGGAAATATACTATTACAGTATTTGCAGTACAGCGCATTAATTATTTCAACTGAGATGGTTTTATGCAGTATGAGCACGTAGCAGTAATTTCAAGGTTGCCTATTTAAAACACAGGACGCTCTCAAGGTCTCATTGCAGTGATATTTTTAGTTAAATAAATTGTGAAAGTGTTTCTCTTGAAGTGTTTATTGTTTTAACAATTGAATTACCTCACGGTCCATCTAGTTTTAAATGATCACTCCAGTCCATAGTCATCACGATGTCAATGCCGTCTCCCACCTTGAGTCGTGAGGTCCAACTCTCCGTTGTATTGCAAACTGCCCCGCCCTTCAAACAGAAAATTGTAAATCTTATTATTGTAAAATAGAATTGGGTCATGATTACCATATTCCTTGGTATTCATAAGCATATCGTGATTTCTAAAAGCTCTGTGACCTAAGTAAGCTTCCTTAAACTAGTTTAGTTTCCACGAATTCATACGGTATAAAAAAATTCACGAAAACTATTTTACAAACTCGTGTGTGTATTTCTATTTGTATTCTGTTTTCATAGAACAATTGTTTTCCCGTACCTACCAACTAAGTAATATTGTTTTATTATATTATATTTACTGTGTAATAAAACAGATTATTATTGTTATTATTAATAATGAAGACAAAATAGTAAAAGTTTTGCCTAAAATCTTAAAACGTTGTAGATTCAATACATTCAATCGACACCTCTTCGTGTCTCAAACTTCAAAACCTGCACTAATTTCCAAAAGGAAGAATGTGTTTTTTATTTATTCTGGCGACTCCGTGTGAACTATTCTTAAGGTTTATAACAGGAATGGAATTATTACATCGCGACAATCCCGTCCTAATTTATACCCAAGTTGTTTGATAAAACGCTAAGAGAAGATTTGTTATTTGAATATTTAATTTTTGTCCAAGAATTACTATATATTATATAAAAGTGTACATGCTATTTTTTAATCAATATTATCAAACGTAATAAAAATAAATTAGGGTCAACATTTTTAAAGTAGCACTAATATTGCAATTTTTTGTCATAAAATGCATCAGTAACATAATCCCACACATTTATGTAATTATTAGGTTACCAATCAATACTTTTGTGGTAATATATATTTCACCGACTTCAAATGCAGAAGAGGTGCCCACTTCGGGGCCAGCTGTTAGCTTTCTTCACGTTATTGGTATATAGAGATTTATTAAATTCAATTTAGATTTTTAATAAATTTTTTCTTTTTTTTTCTCATGAAGTAAGTAGAACTAAATTGTGTTAGAGAATTATAAATTTGGGTTAACTGTTTGTTACAATTAAAATCCTATTGAATACTTTCCGCGTTGTTTACCAAGCGCATGCGCTCTACATAATAAAAATAAAGACGCTTGCTATTATGTAATGTTTATGGTTGTTTATGGTAGCCCTGAAGTAAGTATCCTCAGTCCTAGATCTATGACGTCATCTCCAGCTCCTGTCCAAACTATCGACCGATAGCTCATTCTGAAATGAGGAATATCCAAGAAAAAAACTAGTGAAAGAAACTAGTGTAGTTGTGATAATTAACTAAATACTCCTTCACGTGCTCTTGAGCGCAAAAAAGTGATTCTCGAGGAATGTGACGAATAGATTTCTGAAAACTTTTCAATTTCCGTTTTTTCTATCGGTACCTTCTAATCGAACATTAATTCTACTATTCGACTGTTTACTCCCCCAAAGCTGAGCCGATTATATCAGTTTCAAAGATTACTTAAGGAATATTATTATTATTTATATTAAATACAAGCGGCCAGCTCCGGCTCCGCTCGTGTCTTTTACAAAAATTTCAACGATATTTGACGTTGTTTTATTTTTTTAAATAAAATAATAGTATAATAATAAAAGTAAATAATAATGTGTTCTACAAAGTCGTAGTACATTATTTTATTCTATCATCAGGGCACGCGATGTAAAGAATATTTTAGGTATTTTATTTACACCTTGGGTTACATTATTGGAGTTTTAGTAAGGATCCCTAATTTTTTTCAAAATAGATTATAGCCTATGTCACTCGGGAATAGTGTAGCTTCCAAACAGTGAAAGAATTTTTCAAATCGGTTCAGTAGTTTCGGAGCCTATTCAATACAAACAAATAAACAAATCTTTCCTCTTTATAATATGATGAGTATGAGTATGAGTATATAGATTATGCGTTTATTTGGTTTCCCTCGTTTGTCTAAGCGGCAAACAATTTTAGCATATCTCTGATTCCCATATACAATAAATATATTAAATATATTGATACATATATTATCACTGGAACCATGTTTATGCATAGCGATGTTTGTTTATGAATTTTGCAGAAGTAAATTAAATCGTATGGTTTAAGAATGTTTACTCAAATTTTGGTATTCGGAACGAAACATACAACACTCAACTCGCATTTCATCTTAATAAAAACCAGTTATTTGTTATATAAATATATAGGGACTAAATTATCCTCAAATGCCAAAGATCCTGTACTGCATACGGTGTTAGAAGACACGCTATAGTTTGTCAAATGTAGCTTGAAACACGGGACATAATTATAGATAGAGAGGATATACTTTATTGCACACCAAAATACAATTAACATTTTAAAAAAACAGCCAACAAGCAGATACATTTGTACAATAGGCGGTCTTATCGGTAAAAGCGATCTCTTCTAGACACCCGTTTAATTTACAGAAATTCTGGAAAAGTTTTTTCTTTTACAAGTTTCTATTGACATTTCACAATTCAATAAATTTTTTCGATCAATTTCAAATTCCCCGAACAAAGTATAACCAAAAAGGTCGCTTGAAAATAATCGTAACTATCAGATAATAGACATTTTGTTTATTGACTCCAAAAATAAAATCAATATTGCATTACATATAATAATAATTGTATCATATGGAAAACGACGCATCGAAATAAAAGTAATGAACTCTAAAATATTGCCTGTTCAAAGTTATTTACAGAAAGAAATGTGCATGTTTACTGCGTTTATCAGATTCGCAAATTATATTATAATATATGATAAATATTTATGAGATCATGAATTATAAGAACTATGTCATTTCATGTTTGTTATTATAAAAATAACATCTAATATTTATAAATGCAGAATATTAATGACTGAAAACCAGCATCCATATATATAAATATCGTTCTAAAAGATATTCCTATTAAATAAATATTAATTGTAAAAAATTTATATTAATTAGATTAGGTCGTACATCATAGAATATATTTATCAAAAAATCATTTATTTTACCAAAGACGCAGATATAAAATATACATTTTTGTCTTTAGTATTTAATCAAATATAAAATCTGTTGTATGAAATAATTGTAATTCATACATATTATAACATATCGAGGCTTGAAAGGCAAACGTGACTAAGCGACAATAACTGCTTTGTACATAAATGATAGGCAATAACCATATTCGATGCGCAAAAAAAATAAATATTTCTATGTCTATTAAAATCATTTCAATCCTACAGCTACTAGCTAGATTCTCCTACAGCTAGATTCGTTAAAATAAATTTTGTTTTCAGGTATTTCAACTTTAAATTAGTCTACTGTAAAGTTCACGCATTGTCGCTTAGTCACGTTTGCCTTTCAAGCGTCGATATTATAATTCTGAATGTTTCAAATTTATAATCAGTGTTGTGAATTTTTTTAATAATTTTTGGTAAGTGACTCGTAAAATTCTTTGTATTTTTTTAATTATTTTAAATATATAAGAATTATATAGAAAACATTAATATTTAGATATTTACATCATTGTTAGATCGTGGTCCATTCTAGGTGACTTAAAGTGCGCATTAAAAATGATTATCGTAACTAAAAAAAATATAACATTAGAAAATGTAAATAAAAGTTATGTAAAGCTCAAATATATTTAAAATAATAAAATAAAAGACTTGATTAAAAAAAAATACAAGAAAAATTCAAAACGAATGCTTTTAGGGTAGCGTCGTATTTATAGTTAATGTTTAAATAAATAAAATTGTTCAGAAGTATTTTATTTCAACAAGACTTTATCGCAAATTAAAATGCACGTTAAAAATATTATGCATAGTTTATTATTAATAGTTTTATCTGTGTATCGTATAGTTATTGTAATGTGTTCAGTAAATAAGGTGTGAACTACATTCAACCCTCAAATGCCGAAAACCCGTGCCAATCCGATTATAAATAAATTATGACAAATTTATCTATTCCCGAAAATATAGAGATGTATTTATTTATAGAATAGAGAAGTGTTATGAGCATGAGAATTATGATGGATACATTTTTAAATATTTACGTGACTGTACCAATAGATTTCGTTGTAATAAAGAGAATGCAAATAAATAATAATGTCTTTCATTGTTTTTTTGAAAGAAGTTCCTTATGGGACGATGCGGAGGGGTACCCTAACCGGGAAAAAACGTCCGTAACGTAAGATTTTTATTAGTAATGCACACAGTTTACGACTTAAATTTGTAATAACGTACAGAAAATAACTCAGATCTCAGAACGTTCGTTTGCGCAATACACTAACTCTTATGCAAACAACCGGGAATGAAGTGTACCACAATAAGTTCGCACGTTACCGAATGGCCGTGGGTTGTTGCGAAACCTCCAGTTTTATTTTAATTATACCTCGAATAAAACTTAAAATTAATATTTTTATAATAAGGAACTTCGTTCCTATCCAGTATCCCACGACTCCACGCATCTTTTTTTAAATAATTGTTTATTTGTGGTTTTCTTTTGGACATATTTTTGAAATTGTCCGCATCAATTCCACGTTCCTCCCGACACAAGCTTAATGAATAACGAAAGAATGAAAAGAATAAAAAGAATTAAAAACGTTATCAATTAGCGTTCACGGTCGAAATTCAAGTTCGATACAAAATCTGAGGGCGGTGTTAATTTACACGACTTATAAGCTACTAACACGAAAAATAAACAAACCGACTGATATCTTTCCCTTTTTTTATCGCTGCCAAAGTAAAAACGGCGCGGAGGCTTCGGTCAGGTTGCGGGACGAGGGAGGGGACCGCCACAGGAGCGCTACTGCCTTCGCCGGCGGTAGTACGCGCGTTCGCCTCCTACCAGTCGCGCGCCGTATGCGCATGCGCAGCTTCTGTCACGGCTTAACCAATCAAAACAATTAGAAAAAAAAAACACTGGTGTGTACATCAGCGTAAAAACTATCAGCGGATTACAGTGAATTTAACTCGGATCCGTGAAAATTGTGTTACCGCTTACACTGGCGACAGGTAATCGTGCCGTTAACGAAATTCGTTTAACGTTTCTATTAACTGTTTTATGGCCTGTACAGTGCTTCTATTGTTGTGTGCACTCCCACTAATCTCCTATTCACCTGTGCCACTGCGGTTTGACTGTGAAATGTGACAAAAAATTGCAATGAACGCCTATTGTGGATGCGGTACCGCAGTGTGTTGAGTCTGGACTACCTGAGCGACGGAGGGTTGAGCCCGCGCATGATCGATAGCTCAGTGACGACTTGTGAGTATATTTTTTTATGCGTATCGGGTAATTTAATGCAACGGATGTGGAATAAATTGGGTAGGCATGGTGCTCTTCGGTCGCTACCTGTTTTATCGGGTCATGCGTTTGACGAGTGCTCCTTTCCGTTTTTTTTTTCTGTTTTTTTTTTTTTTTTGATATTGTTAATTCGTTTCCGAACAGATGCTTTGAATACAATTCTGAGAACGAAGGGGTCTGCGGTTTAAAACGTTATTCTTGTATATTTTATGGCGGTGTTTACTCAACATTTCCTGCCACTGTGTTCAACGCTGACTAATTAACTAGTAGCAGCATTGTGTTTGATAGTTAATGTGTTTTAACAGAATCATTGTTAGCGCAAAAATTGTTTTTGATTATATATTTCCTTGTATTGTCTCACACTTTTTCAATCCAAGATATGATATTATCAAAGCCGGCAATGTGACTGTTGGACAATTATTGGTAAATCAGAAAAACGAATTATTGACTTCCATTGGCAGTCACAAAACTCTTCTGAACGACATCTTAGATAAATAACAGGTTAACTATTAACCTTTATTTAATGCAGGTTTTGAACCGTATTCTTTGAAGGAGACGATTATATTCAAATCAATCTGTATTGACATATCAATAGTTTTTTTTTGTCCAAATGCACAGATTGCCATCTTTGATAATAGACGACTCATATATTAGTGATACTTATCTTGGTTTGAAAAAGTATGAGTCTGAAAGCTGTTTTCACCGGTGAGACGGCGGGTGTTTTGTGTTCACAAATCATAATTTAGCAAATTTTTATTTAAATAAACAGTAGAACAGATCGCAAAACAATGCTATAAGTAGGAGGTGTACAAGCACTGATCATCTCGACGTAAAACTCATCTGTACTTGAGATATAAATTGACACAAATGTTTTTTTTTTAAATTGCAATTCAGAAGTGACCTTAACCTTAGAAACGAAAAAAAACTTAAAAAAAAAGTTGACTTAAAATCAATCTGATATTGACCATAGTTTTTGTTTTTAAAACAACGTTTTTTCTGTTTCAATTCCTTATGTGAACGTACAACCTACCTAACTCCTGATAATCGAATCATATTCTAAAACCAATCATGTTCATTTCAAAAAGTTTTCGAAATAGCCGAGAGACAAACGCAACTCTTCGTCGTTGGAATAAAGTTCATATTAAAAAAACATAACAGGTATATGATTTATATGAAGTAACACTAGTCTCATTCAAAAGTCAACGTAATCTCATAGAGTTAAGGTCCATTTTTTTTAATACTAGCACCTCTAGCAGATCATAATACATTCATAGTACTAAACATTTATTGCGGATACCACTGAAAAAAGCCAATCTATCTGAATTACCAAATATATGGAGATTAATTGCGATAACTCTTAGCATACAATTTAATACAAAACTGTTTTTTTTTAATAGTCATCGTAAAATATTCTCTGAATTATAACAGAGATCAAAACACGCCGCGAAATTTAATTAATGCCTCGTATAACTTCAACACATATAGTCGGTTAAATAAATAAAAAAACTTAACATAGTGTGCGAGGCATGTAGCATTATACTCATTATCTTAATAAACTAATAATTTTTACGGTCTTCGCGAGACGCAGACTTGTTTAAAACTGCTTTTCCGGTTTCCTCCTCTTTTCTCCTCCTTGCGTCGATAATCCCTAATGCTGAGGGTCGTGGTCTCATAAGTGTTTCTTAGGAAAATACACATGGTGAAATCCCGCGTCCTACCACGGCAGTGCTTTTGTAAGAGATTTAATTCTTCAAGGCCGCTGAAGCCTTAATTGGGTCCGGCTACCGCCGCCAGACATTCCGCGTTGACTGTTTTTTGCGGTAGAAAGGTCAAACTCCAACTCAACCCTGCTCTTTTCTCATCCGGGCTCGGGACCGGCATTGGCAGAGTTAAGTTTTCGGTTTAATCTCTGGTTTGTTTTTAACATTATATTATTTCTGACGTTTCGGATACAGTTTTCGTGGTCACGGACGACTTATGTTACCACTGAAGTGTTACCTTATCAGAGATCCGGTTCTAAAAATATTAAAACGAAACCCTTATAGAACCACTTTGTTGTCCGTCTGTCTGCCGGTCGTTTCGTCTTTCTAAACTACAAGGACAGGATTTCGAAATAGCTGATGAACTTAGTAATTTTTGTTGTTAATAAAAATAAATATATTTTAACATGAAAATCGTGACTACTGATTCAAAAATATTTTCTCATTATTTCCTGTTACATTCCTGTAATAAATATGTTTAACTTCTGTTCGTCCAGTTGAACAGGCAAAGGGAACTAAGCCCATACTGCGAAATTATTTAAATGTCATTATTGTGTGTTCATATTTGTATGTATTATATTTTTGGGCAAAATAGTGATTACGTTCTCTTCAAAATACTCTATTACATCATCTTTTCGATTAATGATTAATACACAATTATTTAGGCCTTGAATTAATTAGGAATTAAATGTTTTTATTTTTCTTATGTCACGGACAATGCGTTTTAGTATGGCATCAGTAGTAATTTCTGTAAGAGGCTAGTTCGCGTACCCCGTAACGATTAAAAATATTATCATTAATATTCTCTGACCCAAAATAAGTCAGTATTTGTAACACAGTAGAGTCGAATACCGGTTTTAATTGTTCCGCAAATAGTAGTTAATCTACGCCATCAAACGTTATCACTGACTTATCTTTATCGCATGCTCTAACCGATGCTTATCGTTCACCTTGCGGCGGCTAAATGGATCGAGTATTTATAATAAAGGTTATTTTTTTACGATTTCTTGTAATTTTATCAACGGTCCAGTTTATGATTACCGAAATAATTGAATTTCACCATTTAGATATGTATAAGGTTTTTTGATGCCGACTTTGCTTCAAGGATATAAAAATTTGTACTAAGTAAGTAGGAATGTAAGGTGCACTTAAAATAAAATTCAATGACCCAAGTCTTGGTGGGCTCACTGGCGGTAGGACCTTTTGTCTTGGCAGAGCTCCGAACCTCCTTCGAGGTATCCGCGCCTAACGACTTGATGATCTGCAGATTTTGGAGGCAGACTATGGCTCAAGGATATTTTTACGGCCCTACCTCACTAAGCTGGTGGCAGTTTACTCGTGGTAGGTACCACCGCCCCGCCTATTTCTGCCGTGAAGCAATAATGCGTTTCGGTTTGAAGGGTGGGGCAGCCGTTGTAACTATACTGAGACCTTAGATCTTATATCTCAAGGTGTTGTTGTGTGGTAATTTTTTATTTATTATTTTGTTATTTCTGTGTTTAGCATATAAGCTTAGGGGCATACGCTACAAGATGTCGCTAGTTTCCATACAAAACAAAAATATTTGTCTTAAAGTATCCTGGACACTGGTTTCACATTCGAAAAATAAAATAACGAAATGAAAATAAGCCGTGATAATTTCACTTTGATAATGAAGTCTCAAAGTGGGCGGTGACAATTACGTGGCGAATACTAACCAAGGCCTAGTGGTCTAGTCGGCCCATACACGGCATTTAAAATCGCCATTTCTATAAAAGGAAATAACAACCTACCTGCATGTTCTGTAAAACGTATTTTGCATTTAAATGTAATTAATAAATACCACAGAAATTGTGGATTAGCTGTAAAAAACATATTAATAGCATTAGGCGCAAGTCGCACTAAATCAACTGGCTCTCCAAACTAGGATTCCCTGAACACAGCGAATATATATTTTAAAGGAATGTTTACATATTAACGTATTGGTGTGTTCTAAAATCTAACAAATTTTTTAGATTTCATCAAAATTTATTTACTTGTAGACAAAATGTAAAACTATATCTAATAACAAGATTCGGGCCATCGCGGTTTTGGATTACAGAATAAAACACTCGATCGCAACGGGAATTTAATTAATAGTGTTTCATAGATATTAATGCCACATCACTACGTTTCGTGGAGACGAAATATTTGCTATTTCATTTTCACATTTAATTAAAGTACTATATTATACTATCTTAGTTTAGCCTAATAGCAGCTCTTTTTTTTTCGGGCCGGGGCCAATCCTCCTATGAGGTCCCCGCGCTCAGGGGGCGCGCGGGGTATGTGGGACTTGACGATCTGCAAGGTGTTAGGAGCAGACCGCAGGCCTAAAGAATTTTAGGGCCCTACCCACTAAACGACTCCCTGCACTCTTCGCCCAAGCGTCCAATCCCCTCCGAGGTCAGAACACGGATGAGGTAAGGGGGCTACCGCGGTCAACACTACAACCAGACGGCGCAGCTCACCCCAAGGACGCTCTGAAACGTCAGTTGTCTAGGTACGGCAGCCCGTCAGGCCGCCCAGACGATGCCGCTGGTGTCCAGACATACCCCACTGGACCAGAACCAGCCTGCCGGGTCGAGACGCGATACACCGCCAACCGGTTGCTCTTTCGTATCTCTTTGGCAGCGCGCTAGAGTGATGGTAGCGCGCCGCGCGGCCGCTACCTCCTCAGGTCGCCCCTTAAATTGACCTTCACCGGGGGGAAGCCGCCACCTACAGGGTTAATAGCAGCTCTACGATAAGCTTTTTTTATAAATAACCTAAATTGTCGTCGCGCAATAAGCAGCCAGATCAAAATGTTATTTTCACAAACAAATTGAAACTTGAAACTAGGTTAGTGACAACCGAAACAGCCTCAGTTTAATTAGTATTTTTTGGCTTAACATGGTACTGATTTGCCACAAAAAAACGCAGGGTGGCTATATCTAGCCGTTGCTGCTCACAATACTACCTGCAATCAGTAGATATGCAAAATAGCTTATTAAGTTTCTCGCCTGATCTTCTGAGTGGGCCACGATTCCGATTCCGTGGCAGATTCTTCAAAGCGATGCTCTTGCTAGGGTTAGTGTTTGCCAGTTCTCTCAGGTTGAGCCCGTGATCTCACCTACCCATCCGGGCGTAGCCGAAAGTGCCTCTTAGGCTACCTGCATATAGGTAGGAAAAAAAACGGTAGGTAAA